CAAGTCATTCCATGCCATGCATGCACACACATGAACAAGGACGACAAGCCGAGTGCAAGCCATAGGGTTGCACCAACAGAGGCACCTCAGCCGCCTCCTCCCTTGCCTCAGCAGCAGCCGCAACCGCCGCAGCAGCCTTAGCGGCTGCAGCAGCGGCTCCTTCCCATGCAGTTGCTCCAGCTGCATTCTTGGTGGCATTTCGCAGTCCACCCAAGCGGCGCCGCCCAGAGTCGCCATATGGTGAGCCCTCCCCTGATTACTCCGCCACCCCCATCTCCGCTGCTTCTACCCCCCCCTCAACTCCGGTCAGCAACGCCAGTGTACGTTGGGGGGGAACAAAGGGCGCCGCCGCCCGCGCACCAAACGACAATGGCGCCATCGGCTGCTGCTGGCCGTCGGGCCAGCCTACCGCCGATGTCTCCGGTGGAGGCGGCTGCCATCAGGGCAGAGTTTCCGCGGACGGTGCCTCTGACGGATTTGGCACCACGGGCGGCTGCTGCGGCAGGAACTGGGGGCCGGGGGGGTGCAGCGGCTGAGGGTGCGCTGGGGAGGTTGATGGGGGAGGTGCTGGTGGGTCGGTGGCGGCGGGGGCACAGCCAAGGGCGGCGGATGGGTCTGCGCCGACATCTGCTGCGGAAGGAAGTGCAACGGTTGCAGATGCGCCGGTGGATACTGTTGAGGCTGATGGTGCTGCGAGAGGAACGCTTGCGGTGGTGGCGGCTGTGCGACAGAGCGGAAGAGGCCCTCCAGAGTCACAGCTGCGCGCCCCAACCGCCTCTCCGCAGCTGACCCGCGGTTGCTCCCCCGCCAGCTCTCCAGCCGTGGCGCTGGCCGGAACGCGCGCGCTGCCTCTGCGGCGTCCGGTGTTGCGTCGCTGGCTGCGCCTGCGCCTGCGCCATGCGTTGCGAGGTCCCACGGCGCAGTGGAGCCTGCCACTGCTGCTGCAGAGTCCCCCTCTGGCGGCCGTCATTTGCGCGCTCGGGGGTCTTCCGCTCGCGCCACAACGGAGTCGAGGGATGGCTCCCTGCTCGGCCAGGCATGCGCTCCTGGGTCTGCCGCTGGCTTGTCGACGACACAAGGAGCCCGAGTTCCTAGTCGCGATTTGACTGCGGGGGGGAGCTCCGCCTATCTGGGTGGGGCGCACTCTCCCCAGTGTCTCCAAATCGTAGGAGCGCTCTTGGCGGGGACGTCCCTCCTCCCCCTCCTGCGGGGGGTCCATCTCGGGGTGACGCGACGCCCTCGGCGTCGCCCGCTCCGCAGCCCGGAAGCCGAGCGTTGGCTGGTGGGCCCGCGGGCCAGGAGAGGCGAGCGAGGAGGCCGGGGGCATGGACGGGGACGGTCTCGAACAGGTGACTTAGCGTGCGATGGTGGCCCGTTGAATGGCTTCCAACAAGCTGCAAATTGGTCTTTAAGGGAGCAAGGATTAAGGGATGCTAATGCCGTGACTCCACATATATACCAGGCGAACTCCAAGAGTCATCCACATACGACTCAGTTGACGCACAGGATGATGCTGCTCTTGGATGAGGAAGAGGCGAGATTGCTGCTTCATCTCCCAGATCCAAGGGACGGGGGTCTTCTGCAGCTCGGAATATACGGGAACCGATTGCCCCCACTTCCCAGACAGCTCGGCAGATGTCCCCGGAGGAACTGGCGAGTGACGCCTCCCGATTCGCCCAAGTCGCCAGCCGGGGCATCGGGGTACTGTGCGACAGTCGCCAATCCCCCTTTGCCACTAGTTACCCCACGCCATTCGTCAACTTTTTGTGCTGGCACTGCAGACGCACCAGCTTTTCCTCGCCAAAAATACAACCTCAGTTGGGGGCTAGCGTTTGTTACTCATCCTACCGTGCCTAACTCTTCGCCTCCCATCAACTAAACGACCCAACTGGTCAGCGACGGAATAACTGCTGCACCAATTCCTCATCGGCCAGTGGGAAGCCCTTAACCAGTCCGCCGCTGCCGCTATCACAATGCCACCCCCCCTTCGACACGTCCCTGACACACTGTGAAAATATCTTGAGCCGAGGGGTTGGTGCGACGTGGCAGCCTACGGCATGCCCTGCTGGCCCTCAGCTCGACCCCAGTCAGAGAGTCAACCCCTGCTGTCCTTGACTCGCTGAATTCAAAGCACCCACCACCCATAACCGAAGACCTCGACTGCCCCCCCCCAGGCGATGGCGACACCCTGCCCACTGTCGACCTCGCCGAATTCACAAAACTCCTTCCCCTAAGCAAGACGGGGTGGGTGCAGGACCATCTGAGATGGCTTTTGAACACCCTCACGACGCGTCGCTCACAAACCCCTCAGTCGCCAAGCACCTGCACGAAATCGTACTCCTTCTCCTCGCCGATAACCTCCCACACGAGGTCGCCCAGCTGTTGACGGCATCTCGACTCCTCGCCCTCGCCAAACCTTATGGGGGCAGTCGCCCAATCGCGATAGGTGAATGTCTGCATCGCCTAGCCGCCAAGCCTGCCCTCCTTTCCACGACCCAACCAGCGCAGGACTACTTCCTACCTCTCCTGTACGGTGTCGCTATCCGGAACGGCGGAGAGGTCATCATCCACTCCACCAGGGCTTACTCCTCCGAGCGCCCTGGGTCTCTCATCCTGCATGTGGACCTCATGAACGCTTTTAACAGCATTGAGCGTGGTGCCATCATCGCCGCCATCAGCTCCTCGCCCTTGCGCCCTCTACTGCCGTTCCTCTACCTCTCGTATGGAGCACCGTCGTTGCTGTTCCTCAACACGGGGTTCCACTTCTAAGTGCAAGGGGCGTTCGCCAGGGCGACCCAATGGGACCTTTGCTCTTCCCTGCCGCCATTCATTCCACGCTCGAATCCACCGCTGCCGCGCGCCCCGATGTCCTATGTCTCGCTTATGTGGATGACATCACGTTCGTGGGAGAGGCGGCGGCATGCACAGCTGCATTTCCGGAATTCACGGGGGGCATGGGGGCCATCGGCCTGACCCACAACCCCCCCACTGACAAAATGCCCTCAGGCATTCCTTCCTGCATCGATGTGCTATTTGTGCTAGGCAGTTTTGCTGGGACGGCGGAGGGTACCACCGGCTTCCTCCGCTCCCAGCTCGCCACACTGGCTGAGCCACTCCCCACCCTGGCCACTCTAGATCCACAGTCGGCCTCCCTCCTCCTTACTCGCTGCATCTTGCGGCATGTGAATAACCTCACCCGCACCACCCCCATGGACCTCCTCCCACAAGCCGACTGGTCCGAGTGGGGCAGGGAGCTGTTCAACACCCTGCTGAATGCTTGCAGCCTTCAGCTTCCTCAGGGAGAGGTCGAACGGGCACGCACATGGGCCCAAGCCTCACTCCCCCCCTCCCTCGTGGGTCTAGGCCTCACCGACCCAGCCATCAACGGCCCTGCCGCTTTCCTCACCAGCTTTCACCCAGGCTAGGGAACTTCTTGCCAGCCTCCCAGCGGCTACCGACGGTCCCCTGGCGGTTGTGGCCCGCCCTCTCGCACCCCCCTTCACCAGCCCCACACGCCTACACACCTGGCTGGCAGGGTGCGAGGCGGCCCTGCCAGCTTGGACACTGGAGCTTCTGCGTTCTGAATGCCAGGAACCCTCAGGGACCCGCCTCCAGCACCAACTGTCCCTCGAAGTCCAAGCTGCCCGCTATGCCGACCAGGTTGCAGCATCGCGGGAAATGGAGCTGAATCCGTATTCCGGCCATACTCAACGTCTCTTCTCATTGGTGGGGTACAGGGCTGGGGACTGGATTCACGCCAACCCCATCTTCCCCTCCCTTTGCCTCGGCCCTCCCCACTTTGCCATTGCCTTGGCTTTCCGCCTCGGCCTCCCGTTCCCTGCTCCACACAATTGCAACTGTGCCGACCGCTATGAGATCTCTGACCCCCAGTTGCCCAACCACCCCTTTCGGTGTGGCACGGGACACGGGCATGCCCTGAGGGATGAGTACATCCGCATGGCACGGGATGCTGAACTCATCATCACTAAGGATACCACAATTTACAGTCTGGTGGACAGCCACAAGGCCGACCTCGCCATTCGCGATCGGGATTCCGGGCGGTGTGGATCTGCGACGTCATGGTCACGGACCCAATTAGCAGCAGGGATCCGCATGCACGCAAGGGGCGGGGATACATGGCCCAGGAGCAGGCCAATAAGAAGATGTACCACTACCGCAACCGGGCCCCCTATGTCGGCTTCTTTTCTCTGGCCATAGAGACCTACGGCTGCCCCTGTGCCGAGGTTCCTACCTTTCTGAAATTACTGGCGGATACGGGCGCCAGACGCCTATTCAATGCCGACCCCAGCTCTTACCAGGCGGCGCAGCTGCTCCATCAGTTCCGGCAGCGATGGTCCGTGACCCTCCAGCAAGTGCAGGCCTTGGCCTACCTCGGGAAGATCAATGAGGCCTCCCCTGCAGAGTACCCACCTGTGGGGTCCCCTGATGCCGATATGGCATTGGGGACTGTTTTGCCGTAGCGGAGCCCCAAGGGGAGCTCCTGTAGGCTAGGTCCCCCCTCCCCCCCCCCCCCCTACACGCACCTTGCTTGCCATGCTCCTGCATGCCTACCTTGTATCTTGCTCCTATCAATACAACGGACCGTATGTAATGCTACATACCTATGTGTGAATGTAGGAAATTTATCTAGAAAAACTTTTGTTCCCAAAGGCCACTTTCTCCACGACGATATTTTTATCATGGTATGTTAGTACGGATTACTCAAATGAACAGTGCATGGGTAGTGTCTGGTTAGTACGGGTTACGCAAATGAACAAAACCTATATTTTTATTCATCAGTGTATGGTTGAAACATGCTGTTTTGGGCTGTAAGTTTCTTTCTAAAGAATAGGACACAAAAACGTTTACGCCTTCCGGGTGAGATTATATCTGCGCAAATGTGTCTTCCCCAATATCATCTTCCATGCTACAAAGACTTATTGGAGGAGAAGAGCTGGCCCTATTTACTCTAACCATAACAGGAACCAACAATCGGAATTTCTAATGCAGTTTCAATCACCACCGCAGCTTCCCTTACCACCCATCACACGACCAATCAGCAGCTGTGTTTCGCCAAAATCGCCACACGGCCAGACTGCAGGGCCGAAGTTTCCAACGGTGGCAGGAAGTGAAATGGATGTGTAGGCATAGCTGGTGTTGGAGCTTGGACTACACCCGAGCAGCAGCACCTGGCTTGTAACCACCATAGTCGCCTTGAGGGGGCTGGCTCTGGTTACCACCTGGCTGGATCTCCTGGTGCTGCTGCAGGAGGGGATTCTCCACCTCAATGGCTGAAGAAAGGCATGCCAACAGTGGAGACATTAATTCCAATGCATACATGCAAGCATGAAATATTATGAAAAAGGGAAAGAAAAACAGAGCAAGGTTAGCATAGACGATGGGTACGGAAGAGGACGAGGGGGAAAACACAAGGAGAATTACGAAGGGAACTAAGCTGTTATGGAGTTTTTCCTCTGCAAAGAGGATACGGTTGAAAACATTCAACTCACCTTTGATCCTTTTGCGACACCGAATAACCATGAACGCAATAGCAATGGCGCCAATAACCACCAGAACTACCCCCAGCACAATGCTGACAATGGCTCCTGTGGAGAGGCCAGAGCCTGCCGGTGTGAGGGTAGAGCTGTTGTTGTTAGGAGGAGGAGTTGAAGAAGCGGGGAGAGAAATGGAGGGAGAGGATCGGGAAGAAGGTGCAATCAGTGAAGGCTTGGATGGTGCAGCTTTAAATGGTGTAGCTTGGGATGGTGCTGCTTTGGTTGGTGTTGCTTCGGATGGCGCTGTTTCGGATGGTGCTGCTTTGGATGGTGCTGCGTTGGATGGTGCTGCTTTGGATGGTGCTGCTTCGGATGGTGCTGCTTTGGATGGTGCTGCGTTGGATGGTGCTGCTTTGGATGGTGCTGCTTCGGATGGTGCTGCTTTGGATGGTGCTGCGTTGGATGGTGCTGCGTTGGATGGTGCTGCTTTGGATGGTGCTGCTTTGGATGGTGTCGCTTTGGATGGTGTCGCTTTGGATGGTGGAGCTTCAGATGGTGGAGCTTCAGATGGTGCTGCTTCGGATGGTGCTGCTTTGGATGGTGCTGCTTCGGATGGTGCTGCTTTGGATGGTGCTGCTTCGGATGGTGCTGCTTTGGATGGTGCTGCTTCGGATGGTGCTGCTTTGGATGGTGCAGCTTCGGATGGTGGAGCTTCAGATGGTGCTGCTTCGGATGGAAGACCAGCGGATGGGAGAGCATCGGACGGAAGAGCTTCAGATGCGGGAGCATTGGATGGGGGAGCCTCTGATGGGGCTGCACAGAGCGAAGACAAGGCAGGAGGAAGTATTATCCCTGTGATAGCATTCAACAGCTCGTTAAAACATGGAGATTCAACTTGAGGCATGCACTTGAGAGAGGACCCTTCTACGCTCGGTGTGCATCTCACACGGGCCAAGATTATAAAGAAGAAAGATCTGAAATGAAAGATCTGATGGGAAAGATCTGGTATGCATAAAGAGCAAAAGCGTCAGATGCTACAGTAGCAGGTGGGTTTGCCCGAGAAGAGATGAAAGAGAGGAAATCCAGATGGATCAGATGGGATGCAGGAGTAGCTGACTGCTGAGTAAGCAGTGGTACTGAGTGAAGCCATATGTAGGACTGGTGTACAATGTTTTTGGATATTATACGCATTTTCAGCATTCGGATGCGGGAGTGGCAGCAAGACGGCTCACCTGCAGTAAGGGGGATGCAGGACCTGCAGAAGGCACTGCAGTTGGTGCAAAACATGCTGCTATTGTCCTGCTCCACCTCACAGCTAGTACGGATGGCAGGGCAGGAGACGCTGTCGTCATATGTGCTGCATTGTTGGGTATAAGAGGAAAAGGAGGGGGGAAGAGGAGGGGGGTGAGGGGAATGGTGCAGTGCAGAGATGGCTGGCTTTCCTCGAGCTGGTTGCCCCCTCTGGGAGGGCATAAGATAGTGGGGTCGTTGTACGTGCTACGAGGGGAAGGGGAGGAGAGGAGAGGGAAAGGGATGGGAGGAAGGGAATGGTGCAAGGGAGAGTATGTTTATTCACAAGGTCTCGTTTCATGTTACAGGGTGCTAATTCTTTAGCAGGGTAATCTTCTCTTACAAGGTGTTGCTTACTTACCAGGTCTAGTCTTATCACAAGGTATTGATCTGATATTGTGTTTTGTTTTGGTGCTACCTCACAATGTGAACTTGTCTTACAAGCTGTCGTTCTCTTACAAGATGGTGAGATCCAGGGCGCCAAAGGAGGGGGGAATAATCCCCGTCAAATTGTTGCCCTCAAGCCTCCTGTATTGAGAGGGCGAAGGAGGCACAGAAAACAGTGCCAGTAAAACGAAGAAGTGTCGGAGTGTTAAGGGCAGCAAGACAAGGAGAGAAGGGCACACGGACAGACAACTGTGAGCTGTAGGTGCAATTTGAGAATTTTCGAAACACACCAAGAGAGTTCCATGAGCCTTTTCCCCCAGCGTTGGTTGGGGGGGAGGGGGGGGAACGCAAGCAGAACAGGGAGGAACACAAAAGGGTTGAGATGAGAACAAGCACTCACAAAAAACTGAAAGTTAGGCTGACAGTGCGCTCAGAGCCCAAGTGTAGATTTAAAAGAAAGGCAATCACCTCAAAACAGCGCACTCACAAGGTCTGCAGGTGAGGGAGTGTGCCCAAACCCAAGGGAATGGAGCCGCCTACCCCTGTGTAGTCCAGCCTCCTGAGCGGACAAGTATGGGTGGGGGCGCAGGTGGTGGATATGGGTTTAAGGAGTTGAATGTAAGAGGTGAGGTAAGGGGGTAAGGAAATAGAGCCACCTGCCCTTGTCTACCCCTGTGTCAAGGAAGGCTGGGGGTTTGGATAAGGAAGTACTTTTGTGCTGGTTTCACGGAATTATTAGTCGACAACGCAACTCTTAGAGGAGCAAGCGGTCTCAAGCTTGAGCGGAGAGATAATGGTATGAAGTGATGGATGAACATGGTGTGAAATTCTTGTTATCAAACTATTTTCACAAATCACAGGATAAAGAAGTTTTGTGCTTCTCATGCTTCCCTCTCAGACATCATGACTTCCCAGCTAGTGTGACTTCCCAAGGCTACGCAGCTAAGGAGACATTCATGAAGGGTGTTAGGATGAGATGGTGTGTCCAGTGACGGTGCTGGGAATGGTGCAGGTGTATTATGAATCGACAAATACCATAATCTGAGTGGGATACTTACCGTAATCTGGGTGGGATGGTTATTCCAAGCACTTGGGGCTTACAGTCCAATCAGGTTGGTGAGTTGAGTGATGGTGCTGGGAATGGTGCCTCCGGTGAGGTTGTTATTAGTGAGGGTGCTGGCGGGGGGAAGGAGGAATAGGTATGGGGGAAAAGTGACAGAAAGGAATGGGACAGAAAGAAAAGGACAGAAAGGAATGGGACAGAAAGAAAAGGGACAGAAAGGAATGGGACAGAAAGAAAAGGGACCGAAAGGAATGGGACAGAAAGAAAAGGGACAGAAAGGAATGGGACAGAAAGAAAAGGGACCGAAAGGAATGGGAAAAGGGACAGAAAGGAGGCCGTTGTGAGGCAGCCGAACACGGACGTGAAAGGGCGGCAACCGGAAAGTGGAGGCAACCGAAGAAAGAAGGCGGATGCTTACAAAAAGGGGCAATCGACTACAGGAAAGGAGTCAATTGATTACAGACCATCAGGGCAAGCTAAAGGAGGCAATCAGGGTATTTACCCTCACAAGCCCTCTTCCAACCCACTACCCCTCCTCATAAGCCCCCTACCCTATGAACAAGCCCTCTAGCCCTCTATTTATGGCTTACAGGTATTGAAGGGCGGTGATGCTGCCAATGCTGTCTGTGAGAGGACCCACCTTGTTGTTGGCGAGATTCCTGTGAAAGGGGTGGGGTTAGTGGGCGTGTATAGGGGTAACTGATTCTATACATGACCGCATGTTTTGATTCGAACAAAATCTGTATATCAGCACACATTTGCAGTCCGTGAGCGAGCCTGCCTTATTGTTGAAATTCCTGTGAGATGATGGGGGGTGAGCGCATGTGAGAGGGGTGGGGGGAGAGCACGTGTGAGCGGGGTGGGGGAGAGCGCGTGTGAGAGGGGTGGCGGGAGGGCGCGTGCTAGATAGGTGGGCGGAGAGCACATGTGAGAGGGGTTCGGGGGGGGGGGTTGGGGGAGGGGGGGGGGGGGGGGGATGGGGAGGCGCTTGTGAGAGGGGTGGCGGGGGTGCGTCTGAGGGGGGAGGGGGGGGTTGAGCGGCCGAGTGCAAGGGTTAGCGGGAGAGGGCGTGTAGAGAGGGGAACCAGGTGTGTACAAGTGCACACATGAGTGGCCTCTGAGAAGGCCCAGCTGTGGTGAGGTCTTTGAGAGTCACAGTGAGGACGTGTTAACAGCTGAGTGAGGTTGTGTTTACAATGAGGTGTGCCAGTGTATGTGAGCTTTAGTGTCTGTGTTTGTGTTTGTGTTCGTGCTTACAGCTCAGTCTGGTCGTGCTTACAGCGTCGCGAGGCTGTGCTTACAGCTCAGTCTGGTCGTGCTTACAGCGTCGTGAGGCTGTGCTTACAGCTCAGTGAGGCTGTTGAGGTTGGAGAATGACTCAGGGATGGGACCTGTGAGGGCGAAGTCACTGCTGTCATCATTATTCACACCAATGGACCTGATTGGAGGGGAAATAGAGGAAGAGGGGAAGTATGGGTGCAAAGAGTGGAGGAAAACGAGACGTAGTATAAGAGGAGGAAAATGGGAGGTAGTACGAGAGGATGAGTGGAGCATGGGAGAGGAGGGAAAGTACGGGTGGTAAGAGAGGGGAGGCATTGGGGGTTGGAAGATACGAGTGCAATCAGGGGGTAAGGAGTGGTGAGAGGGTGGTAAGGAGCAGTAAGAGGGTGGTAAGGAGCAGTGAGAGGGTGGTAAGGAGCAGTGAGAGGGTGGTAAGGAGCAGTGAGAGGGTGGTAAGGAGCAGTGAGAGGGTGGTAAGGAGCAGTGAGAGGGTGGTAAGGAGCAGTGAGAGGGTGGTAAGGAGCAATGAGAGGGTGGTAAGGAGCAGTGAGAGGGTGGTAAGGAGCAGTGAGAGGGTGGTAAGGAGCAGTGAGAGGGTGGTAAGGAGCAGTGAGATGGTGGTAAGGAGCAGTGAGAGGGTGGTAAGGAGGAATGAGAGGAAGCAAAGAACTGGAGAAAGGCCAGCGTCTAAACCCCATATGCCGCGGGCACAGGAGAGAGTTGGCACTCACAGTGCCTGCAGGCTAGACATGTTGCCAAAGGAGGCTGGGATGCTGCCCATCTCCACTCCGCCAATCGCCCTGGGGTCACATGTGTCACACGGATCGCATGGGTCACATGGGTCACATGGGTCACATGGGTCACAGGAATCGCATGGGCCACATGGGTCACATGGGTCCAGATTCAGATTGCCAGGCTGTTTGGTAAGATGCCGCAGGGGCATGGGTGCACCATGGTTGGGTGCAGCGGTGATGAGATGACCCCATATGTGGCTTACAGGAATACCAGGTTCACCAGATTGCCGAGGCTGGCTGGTAAGGTGCAGCACGGCATGGGGGCGCATAAGGTGTGGCGATAGATAGACTCCCAAACGTGGCTCACAGGGTTATAGTATCAGGAGATTACCAAGGCTGTCTGGTATTTGAGGCGCCACTATCGCTGGGAGCAAGACGAGAGCAAAATGGGAGCACGGGGTGCAAGAGGGGAGCACGGGGTGCAAGAGGGGAGCACGAGGTGCAAAAGGGGAGCACGAGGTGCAAAAGGGGAGCACGAGGTGCGAAAGGGTAGCACGAGATGCAAAAGGGTAGCACGAGGTGCAAAAGGGTAGCACGAGGTGCAAAAGGGAAGCACGATAGGTTCCCACATGTGACTTACAGGAACTTCAGGTTCAGAAGATTTCCAAGGCTGGTTGGTAAAGCGCCTCCAATGCGGATAGATGCCAAGTCCCTGCCACACACGCATGTGCACACCCGCAAATTAACACACACACGCACACGCACACACGCACACACACATGCGCAAGCACACACACACATGCATGCACTCATACACACAACACACACACACACACACAGGTGCGCGCGCGCGCGCACACACACACACACACACGCGCGCGCGCATAGAAAAGGGAAGAATCGTCAGCGCCTTTCACCCTATGACACATAAGAAGCAGAATCAAGTGGTCTACACTCTGCACCACACACAAAACGGACAGAAATTGAACAGTACTGGCCAATGAGAGTATCATGGCACTCATGCAAGAGCCCCTGCCATTGCATTCTGTGATAAGACGAGCCATTGCGTCTTAATTCTAGTCTCATGCCACTCACTACTGCACGCAACACATGCTGTGCACCCATTCACTAGAGCCCTTGCCACCCAGTTGTATCCCCATCATGCCACCCACGCTAGGCATGAGCAGCGGCCGGCCCGGCCTGCCTCGGAATGGGACAGGCCGGGCCAGGGTCGGGCCAACATAGGCAAATGCCTGGCCCCTGCTTGTGTTTAGGATTCGGGGGGGGGTGGAGATGGCTCACAGGGGGGGATGAAGATGGCTCACGGGCGGGAGGTAATCCAAAAGGGGGAGTCTCTCACAGGCTGGTGAGTCGCGAGAGGCCAGTGATGGCGTCTGGTATGGTATCGAACTGCGTTCTGACGTTGGTGGGGCTGTTATGGCATGGGACAGATATAAGGAAAGGATCGGTCGAGGTCAAAACATCGAGAGAGTATCAGACAATTGATGGTGTCTGGTCTGGTGTCAGGTTGCATGCTGAAGTTGGTGGGCTGGTGGGGAGGGGCATAGTGGGATCAGAGTAGGGAAAGACACGCACGGGCTAAAAGGAGGAAAGGCCAGTGGTAGCGTCTGGGATGGTGTCGAACTGTGTGCTGATGGTGGTGGGGCTGTTGGAGGGCAGGTAAGAGGAGGGGGGTGGTGGGAATAGAGGGATTAGGAGGGAAGCAAGAGGAGAGGGGGAGGAGACAAGTAAGTGGCATCTGGAATGGTGACGAACTGCGTGCTGATGGTGGTGGGGCTGGTAGGGGTACAGGGGAGAGGAGGGGAGGGAAAGAGGGGAAGAGAGGAAGGGCAGGGAGGTAGACAAGAAAACAGGTAAAGGCGTCTGGAGTGGTGGCAACTGCGTTCTTGTCATCGTGAGGCTGGTGGATGAGGGAGAAGTGAAAAGGAGAGAGCTTTTGATTTGACTGAAAAGCAAAGCGGGAGAGGGGTATGTTGAGTGATACTGCTGTAAAAACATCATGCGGCTTACGTTATCGAGACTATGAACCCGTCCGCGTCGCACTCCCGAGTGATCTGGATGTTTGAGGTGGTGCAGTCCTCCTTGTCCATAACTTCATCTATGCCCCACGCCGTCAACAGCGCCCCGAGAGGAGGGACTGACTCGACGTTTGAGAGGGGAGGTGGGGAAAGAGAAGTTTGAAAAATAACGAGAATGAGTGGAAAATAGATAGAGCAGTCCTTGTCTAAAACGACGTCTATGCCCCGCGCTCAGCTGTTGACAAAGCCTCGAGAGAAGGGACTGCAGAGGGGAGGATAGGCGATAGGGGGGAAACTGAGAGAAGTGGGGGCATTTAGGAAAGGGTTCGGAGGGAGAGAGTGAGTGAAATTGGGGGGGATCGGTCCTTTTCCATCGTCACGTCGATGCCCCACACCAGTGCCCCACGCGGCGTCCAAGGGGGGTCTGGCAGAGATAGGGGTATTGTGAAATGAGAGAGTATCCGTGCTTCTTTTTTCCACGTCGATGCCCTACGCCTTTGTCAGCGCGTCCTGAGGGGGGACTGGCAAAGGAGAAAGGGGAGGAGAGACAGCTCCTGCGACTGATCTCACGCTGCGACTAAATGAGACAACCAACTCTGTTAGGAGCCTTTTGCATCCCATTTGTGATGGATTTGACTCACTCTGCGATTGATCTATGAACGGCAGCGCTGCTACAAGCCCTGGCTTGTGGAATGATGGATGGAGAAGGATAAATGAGAGGAGGAGGAGGAGAAGACGGCACGCCACTTCCCTGGCTTTAGGCATGGTGCCGCGCTATGTGGAGTGTGCTAGCTTGTTACAAGCGGTGGTACTAGCTCGGAGCTCAAACGCAAGCGGTGATGGTAGTAGTTTTTTTTTAGGAGAAACTTTTCCTGTTTGAATTTCGCAGGTGAATATTGCAAGTAGTTTCTAGCAGTACTAGTTCGGATGCAAGCGCGTCCAACTATGGTGGGAAATGGAAGAACTGAAAGGGCCAAGATTTCAAGATGCGAGGGGGAGGGATTGTTGTCTGCTCGCGACTCGCGACGTCCGAAACAAATACGCGCCTCGTTCACAACGTTGTTTGTGGTGAGGCGATATTTCACGGTCGCGAGGGTTTAGTTGAGTTTCCGACACGGAGGTCGGGTCTCAATTCAAGTCAGCGAGAGAATGATGACGTGACCTTACTGGATTCGTTGATGTGGCCGTGCTGGCCTTGTGGGCTTTAAGGACTCAAGCTCAGTCAACGGGCTCTAGCCCTTCAATCGTCGCGTGGTCAAGTCGGTGTTCGACATTTGGGAGCCACGCTGGATGGGGAAGTCCAATGGCATTCCCGTTTGGGCAGAAAAATCGCACCACATTCCAAATCAGCAGTATCACCGCGCCTTGCTGATCTGGCTTGGCAGAAATGGTAACATTTTGCCGTATGTTACCATTGAAACAAAGAAACTAAAATTGTTATGAATGGGACTGCCGAGTAGTGCGGAGGGCAATGGCGAAACTGTGAACGAGTGAATGACAATATAATGAAAGACAATACAATATATAGAAAACCTAGGGTGATCCTGGACGTAGGATCGGAAGGTTCGGGAAAGGTATCGAAGGGCCTCGATCTGTCGTAACGAGGTCCAGAAAGGCCCAGGAGGCTCGAACTGGAAGGTCTGGAACCCTGGCAATGGTTCGGGACTGTTCGAGTCGTACACCCTGTAGCAAGCCTCAGTAAGGAATTACGCATTCCTTACAAAAATCGAATCTTGGATCCAAGGCTCACCTAGTCCCACCCAACCTCATCTTTCAAGATTGTGAGCCTAGATTGGGTACTCTTATTTTCTCAAATATTTCATTACTATGCCATCCTGTTTCACACTTCACACATTTCTTCATTCGCTCAGTTTCGTTTCTCCCACACTACCACCAACCGCCCTAATTCTTACTGCTGGGTTTAGTGACCTATAACTATAGTAGGGCAATGCAAATCAACAAATCCCTGCTTTCTCGCATCACCCCTCAGCACCATACTGCTAATTCTTTGAAAACTGCTCACTTGGATCCGTTGTCCTCTTTTGCAGACAAAACTTGTCTGAACGTCTGATTTTCAAACTGTTTTTTAGGGGTTTGTCTGAAATGGCCAGACAAGGTTTTGGTTTTGTCTGATTGAGTTCGACAACAAATTTAGATTTGTCTGAACCGTACAGACTAAAGTTTCTGTTTGTCTGAATCAGACCTACATGGGGGTACTTCTGTGTAGCTGTAGAACCACGTGATGCAATCTTACATCCTTCCCATGTTGGACTTCGCGAACGTTCACATGGCAACTTCTGATTCATAAGTTGTTGCCGCGTGACGAGACACTTAGGTAAATTGTGTCAAAAGTAGCCAATTGTAGCTCTCGGCAGCCTGGTACGGCAGCCAACGCAGAGGTTGCAGCAGCATTTGCCTTGCAACCACATGCGGGGAATCTACGGCGGCATGACTGTTGTGTATCCCCACGTAGCTGGTGTCCTGTACGTTGGCCGCGCTGCCACGAAACCCTCCCCCACCCCCCCCCCATCCCAGTGATGCATTGCGTCCTTTGCAGCCTTCTCTTGCACCTTCTGTTTCCTGATTTATCAACTCATTGAGTGCAATTTCATGTTGTTCTGCTCCACGGTTATTTCCCGACTCTGGTCCATGCTTTCGTCAAGCCCTGCATGGCTGGCGAGGAGGCTGAGGCAGAGGGTGATGGTCAGCCCCATGACTCCAGCCTTTCCCAACTTACGGGCTTAGACTACCTAAAGTGGTCGCTAGGTTTCGGTGGTAGAGCCGCTCCGTCGCCCGCCATAGTATTAGAACAGTCGAGTGCTCCCGCCGCTCCATCTCAAGCCGATCCTCAGCCAGTGCCCGAGCCCGAGTCCGCCGCGCCAGAGAGCGACGGATATCAGTGGCCCGCTCCACTCCCATCCTCTCCTCAGTCGCCAGTGCATGCCGCCTCGCCGCCCCCGCCAGCTGTCGAGCCGGCAAGAGCCGAGAGGCTCGATACCGGTAGTACTTCCTCCCTCAAGAGGAATTGCAGACAGGCTACCCTCCCTTTCACGAAGGGCACCCCGCCATCCGCCCCCAGGGCATCTGTCCACCAGGAACGAGCCGCGCGTGGTCCCTCTTCAGCCGTGGACCCAGAAGATGACGACGAGGACGAGGGTTCCGGCAATGAAGACGAACCAGATCTGACTACCAACACTTCAGCACATAAGAAGGAGCTGAAGCACCAGTACGAGACGGAATGGGTGAAGAAATTCCCTTGTCTCGAGCTGACGGAGATGGACAAGGGATGGCCATCTATCAAATGCAGCATCTGCACTACTCATCGCACGGAGGAGTGCGTGTATGGCTGAGGCGGGCAGGGGGGCGTCGATATTCAGGTCCAGACCATGCGGAAGCACCAGCGCACAAAGATGCACGAAGCTGCCATCTACAAGAAGGAGGCGAAGGACCGGGACACCACCTCGCAAAAGTGCATCGAGGACTTCAGCAAGGGAGACCTAGAAGGGAAGAGGGTAATTCGTTTGCTTATGGCTCTGCTTTTCATATGTCGCACCGACGCACCGATTCTGTTGTAAGTCGCCCTTGTCAATTTCATGGCATCACAAGAAACACCCCATCTACCCGAGAGTAGCTACGACACCTACTACACTGAGTAAGTGTCGTGCATTTGTTTCATGCTCAATACTTATCATCCTGGCGCTAACAGTTACATGGGGAACTTGGCAGGTACGGCTTCCGCCAATTGTCAGGATCAATGGCGACTTACCTCAAGAAGAAGCAGATGGAATACATCTAAGCTAGCCCTTTCATCGGCGTCAGCGTCGATGAAAACACGGATCGGCGGCGCGGCAAGCACCTCATACTTTATTTTAACGTTTGTGAAAAAGGGCAAGGTTGTTACTGAATTCTTTGCGTTACTAACGGTGACTCAGTGTGATGCCGCTTCTTTGCTAGCTGTTTTACAAACGCATCTCAAAACAGCAGGCATCGATCTCCAAAAGATTTCTGGGATTTCCACAGATGGAGCCAGCGTCATGACAGGTGGACGTGCCGGCCTTGTCACTCGCCTTCAAGCTATTGTGCCTCATCTTGTCTCCTGGCACTGCAACGCCCACCAGTAAGCATCAGTTTTCACTTGTTTCAATGTTGCTTGTTCTTTTCCACCAGTAAACTGACATTTTTCCCGATCGTCTCTCTTTTCCCGGGAGGCACTTGCGGCAAAAGACGCGGCCTCGAAGTACAAAGACTTCGACTTCATCGACGAGATCATATACATGCTGGCCGAGATCCTCGGACGCTCCTGCATGTGGCATGCCCATTTTCAAGAGCTTCAAGAGGAGCTGCAGTCGATCTTCGCCATTCGTTGGTTGTCTCGATCAGAGGCCATAGAACAGCTCGTCGCTGTCCTGCCAGCTGCAATCCTTCTGCTACACGAGTACGACTTCACGACGTACAAGGTGGCACGTGGTTACAAATTCCACTTCTGCGTCTTCTTCCTCGCAGGCCTACTGAAGGAGTTAAAACGGCTGAATCAGAAGTTCCAGCAGCGCCAGGTAATATGTCTAAGTCTGTTGACTTGTTATGTGACTTCAACTGACGCTCTTCCTGGTGTTGGTTTCGCAGGTGGACATCACAAGGGTGGCCAGCCAGGTGCATGTCACCATCGAAGCCATCCGCTCGCGCTACGTCGGCTGCGGCCAGCTCTTCAGCACTGCCAACAGCAAGCATCTGCACGCCTTCTTGACGAAGCACGTGCCAGAGAGTCAGGTCATTGTTGAAGGCCAAGCTAAGGATGGCACGCCGATCCGCCATGTTTACACCCTGTACACGAGAAGATCTCGGGCCACGTGTACAAGAGCGACAAGGCAAACTGCACCGAGCTCTTCCGAGCCATGGCACAAGCGACGATGGAGTCCCTGGAGCAGCGCCTCTCAAACTTGTAGCAGCTGGGTGGTACGAAGCTCTTCTTGTCCAGCGTCTACCCCGTGGGCAAGGCAGATCGCGAGCGCAAGAGCCGGGAGTGGCTTGGTTCCATCAAGAAGCAGTTCCATGACAAGGCTCTGCCAGGTAAGCTCGCATTCCGTCATCTGTATACTCATGCAATGCTTCCCCCCTTAGAGATGTTGCGTGCCTATGCACTTCATACTTTCATTTCGGCTACTCTACATCTTATATATTTTTGGTTTCCCCCCCACAGGAGTATGCTGGAACAAAGGCAGGAGCTCTCTTCCTTCTGCAACATCATGCAACGGCACCACGGTGACATGTCCTTTCACAGCAGCCTTAGCCACATGCTCGCCACGAAGGACTGGGAGACGGCGTACCCGAATATTGTGAAGATTTCGATCGCCACGATCGTGCTGCCGCTCAGCACGGTGGAGTGGGAGCGAGGATTTAGCCGACAGAACGTCATCAAGAGCTGGGCCCGAGGTAACCTGTGCAACGCGCGACTCTCTCACCTCATGTGTGTCTCCCTCCTCCAGCAGTACGGCATGGAGTGGGAGAAGATTGTCGAGATCTGGCGCGCCTCCAAGCAGAGGCGCCCCTGCCAGGATGCTGTGGCGCCAACACCTGTGGCGGCCATGAGCAAGAAGAAGAAAGAGGCCCTAAGGAGAAAGCGGAGGAAGATTGCTGCCCTGGAGGCGGAGATCCGGCGCTGGAAGGGGAAGGTTGTGGAGGATGAGGAGGAGGAGGAGGAGGAGGAGGAGGAGGAGGAGGAGGAGGAGGAGGAGGAGGAGGAGGAGGAGGAGGAGGAGGAGGAGGAGGAGGAGGAGGAGGAGGAGCAGCAGCAGCAGCAGCAGCAGCAGCAGCAGCAGTAGAAGGTGCAGCAGGGAAGGGAGGAGGGGGGGGGGGAGGAGGAGGAGGAGGAGGAGGAGGAGGAGGAGGAGGAGGAGGAGGAGGAGGAGGAGGAGGAGGAGGAGGAGGAGGAGGAGGAGGAGGAAGGGGAGGGGGAGGAGAGGAGGGGGAGGAGGAGGAGGTAGAGGAGGGCGAGGTGCAGCGACATGCCGCCCTGTTTGACTATGACGATGATGAGGATGATTATTCCATGTAACTAACAATTTCTAATGCAAGCTGCCCTTTCCAGACGAATCTGTTGGAACATTTCGAATCTGTCTTAAGCTTTCAGACATAATTTCCCATTCTGTCTGAGAATCAGAAAACGTCAAATTTTTTCATACAAAATACTTAAACGGCGTCTGATGGCTCAGACAATGAATTTTTTAAAAGAGGACCCTGCTTGGATCTCCCCCATCAGCATATGTGTTTGCCACAGATAAGTCTTCCGCTTGCCTCCTCCTCCCCCTATCCTTCCCCCAACACCCCCTTAGTCGGCACCACATGCTGCCACCGGAACTGCTCTATTGATGTGAATAGTAAACCCCAATACTCCCTGTCGCTTTCTGCCCTGAACAGTGCGTTGCCACCCATTTTCGTCCAAACAATCGCAGCCGGATAGGTCTAGCATGCTCTGGAGCTGGGCAAGTAGTAGAGAGTAGCTGAGAGTGGTGCTCTGTGATTCCAGGGGCAATAGATTTCAAGGACGCGAGGGGGGAGAGGAGAGGGGTGTAGGAATAGAGGGTTGCAGAATAGACGACCAAAGGGGCTATGCTAGAGTTGGTATGGTGGGTGTTTGGCCATCCAATTTGCCCCAAAGGTGCTCCAACACATTTGTGCAAGCACCAACCCATGCATAGGTTGGTTGTGTTGGCTCAATTAAAAAGCAAAATTGAAATACTCCAGCTTCCTATAAGGTTAAACCCCAACCAGCCATCGTCAATATTTGAGTAGTCTGACTATCCCCTAACTTGGTTGGTGATTCCCATCAAGCTTGATCTCCTTCTCCCATGCTTGCATCTTCTTGAGTTGGGGTCTCTTGGATCCTTACTCAATCCAATAACATTTTTCACAAGTTTCTTCATGGTATCAGGTCGGCTTTTGCTTTTCTAGCCCCGAGTTGCTCCTTGCTCCACCTCAGTTCTTTGTTGTGCACCCTCCTCCCCTATGTCTAGCCTGCTCCCACAACGCCACATCTGCCCCAATAAGGTCTCGGGTTTAGTGCATGTTGCTCATTTACAAAAGGGGTTTTCCTGCCATTTCTTCACCACCGGCAAATTCCTCTTGCATAGATGTATATGTAGATGGTGACCAATACTCAGGTTGTACCCAGAGAGGGTAACTACCTCAGGTGCTAACTAGTAACCAGAACTTCAGTGGGCCTTTTATGGCGATGGCAGCTATCAGCCAAAATCATTTGCTAGAGTTTAACTTACTGCGTATTCCTGGGGTACGGGATCAGGATCAGCCCACGCTGATCCCAGGTTCTGGGGGTTTTTGCTTCTGCAGTCAACTCAATGGGGCAATTTATTGTTGTTGTCGTCATGCTGACATGGCGCGTTTCTATATGTTAGAAACTTACCGAGGCGGTCTAACCCCGTCATCCAGCTATACCAAACTCACCCCACAAAACATACCTCCGCGAGTTTAGGGTTTACTCATCCCGAAACGGCATGCAGGCCCCCGTGGGTTTCATTTTGTTTTGTCCCGGGCAGCCTGCTTGCCTGATTTGTGTACCTAAGCTAGCCCGAAAATGTTTTGTTTCGCAGCAGGTTTGGATGACTGGTTTCATATAGCTGCCTGATTTGGCTCCGAACCTCTAAAAGGACCCCAAGTCATCACTCACACGCGTTGACGGCAAAAGAAAGGTTTTTCCCTACTGATTTGATTGCAGAAGCTAAGACCCCGGGCTCTAATCCTACCGTTCTACAGCCTGGAGATCAGGCTCAATGGAGTCAGTCGCAAAGGGCTACCACGTGTACCCGGCACGAGATTCAATGCGATCCTATGTTCACTTAGCAACCCAGTCCTCGAGTGCAGGATGATTGGACACAAACATTTTGGTAACCACGCACATGCCTGACGCGTACCAGCACGGCTGGACATGTAAAAGGCAAACAATCAATGAACGAGGGAAGTGCAATCCATGCGCCTGCTCCGATCAGATGCATGCATTTGTTTGTGTATGTCGCGTATCACGGTGCGTCGCACGGACTCGCTGCGAATCCACGCGGCACTTAACAAGGTTGGATTATGGTTTTGACCAATCATCTCTTTCATGTGCGACTTGACGTGGCACCTCATCGAGGCTGATCCCGGTGTTTTAGGTTGCTCGCCGAGATCAGCTTCGATATTGCGAATGCTGATCCTGATCCTGCACCCCAGGAATACGCTCTTAGATAGTCAAAAGAAATGCATGGCACAATTGCTACATCTGCAAGTGATGGTGCTTTTACGCTCTAGAAATATAAAATGGTTCATGCTGACTCGTTTGAATTTATGCGTTTGTACATTGGCATCCCTGAGTATTGAGAGCCATGAAATGTGTAGTAGTGTCTGGTTATAACATGCTTTGTTGGGTAGTGAACTTATTATCAAATGATAGGACACATAGCGTTCACAAAGAGGTTGCTGTTGGCTAAGGTTGTTTCGTGCAAAAAATTGTCTGTCCCTATAGCTTGTAGGCTTCAAATTACAATCAAAAGAGGTTCCCCTATTCATTCCAACCACAAAATCAACCAGCAAATGGAAATGCGACCAACACTTGCAGCTTGGACTACACCTGAGCTGCTACGCCTGGCTGGTAGTAACCAGCATAGTCGCCCTGAGGGGCCTTGCTCTGGTTACCACCTGCATATGCAGCCATGGCTGGATATTCTGGTGCTGCTGCAGGAGGGGGCACTTCCACCTCAATGGCTGAAGGGAGGGGTCCAAACAATGCACAAAGAAGAGCAACGCACACATGCAAGCATGTGGGAAGGGAGAGCAAAGCATGAAGAAAAGGAGTAGTAGGAGTTGCTGAGACGAGGCTACCATCATTGTGACTTCATATTCGGGGGAGTTTGACCTGATTTTGAATTTGTTCCCGAGAAAGCATGAAAAGCAAGGATTGAGTGAGAAGAGGGGGAGACGAAGAATGAAGCAAGTGGGGAGAGGGATCATTTATAGAAAGAACAAAATGCTTGAAATCACTCCCACTAGTCATCTCACCTTTGGTCCTATTGCTGCACTGAATAATGATGAACACAACAGCTACGGCGCCGATGACCACCAGAACCACCCCCACCACGATGCCAACGATGGCTCCTGTGGAGAGGCCAGAGCTTGAGGAAGAGGCAGCGGAGTTGGCAGAGGAGGAGGAGGTCTGAATGTTGTTTTCGGTGATATTGGTTGTGGTACCAGGGCCCGGGGGTGTGGGGTTGTTGGTGGTAGAGCTGTCGTTACCAGAAGGGGCAATCAATGGAGGCTCGGATGGTGCAGCTTCAGATGGTGCTGCTTCGGACGGAAGAGCAGCAGATGGGAGAGCTTCGGATGGGAGAGCTTCGGATGGGAGAGCTTCGGATGGGAGAGCTTTGGATGGGAGAGCTTCGGATGGGAGAGCTTCGGATGGGAGAGCTTCGGATGGGAGAGCTTCGGATGGGAGAGCTTCGGATGGGAGAGCTTCGGATGGGGGAGTGTCTGATGAGGGAGCAGCAGACGATGGGGCTGCACACAAGGCAAGAGACCATGAGAGAAGACAAGGCAAGAGGAATTTTTCACACTGTGATAGCCAGATGAGTTCATTCTATGCTCGCTGTACAGCCCACGTAGGCCAGGATGAAATAATTATCTGATTGACATACGAGCCAAAAACAACGAGCCAGAAATTACTTGCCACGCTAGAGGAAACAGAATAGGCCAAAAATTACTCGCCAAAAATTACTTGCCGTTGGTGGGGTGCAGGAATAGACGGCAGAGCAGGGCCGTGGTTGCTGCACTAGTGACATACCTAACAGTATGCTTTTGATTCAACAAACTAGCCTTTTGTGTTCTTAAGCCGTTTCAGTAGTTTTGTGCTTGTAAGTCTACTGATTCAGTGTAGTGCATGCAGTGCAGCACATGTGGTGCTAAGAAAATTCAAGTTCGGCCCGGTTTGCAGCATAGATTATGAGGAGTAAAGCAGTAATTTTTGGATTAATTGTGATTATTTCGGTTGTACAATATAGCCGTTAGGATGCAGTACTTCCAGCAAGGCAGCTCACCCGCAGGAGGGGGGATGCAGGACTGGCAGAAGGCATTGCATGCGGTGCAGAACTGGCTCTCGGGTGTCTGCTGCACCACACAGTCCGTGCCATTGGGACACAGCACTGTGTAGTCATACTCCCTGGTGGGACATGGGGCGAGGGAGGAGGAGGGATGCCGGACTGGGATAAGGTATGGCAGGCGGTGCAGAACTGGCTTTCTGGCATCTGCTGCATCACACAGTCCGTGCCATTGAGACACAGCAGTTTATAGTCATACTGCCCGGTGGGACATGGGGCGAGGGAGGAGGAGGGAGTTTGTTATGAGAAATCTTAGAGCTGGGAGAGAAATAGGAATTCATAGTCCCTGATAGGACATGGGGCAAAGAAGGAGGAGGAGGAGGAGGAGGAGGAGGAGGAGGAGGAGGAGGAGGAGGAGGAGGAGGAGGAGGAGGAGGAGGAGGAGGAGGAGGAGGAGGAGGAGAGGAGGAGGAGGAGGAGGAGGAGGAGGAGGAGGAGGAGGAGGAGGAGGAAGAGGAGGAAGAGGAGGAGGAGGAGGAGGAGGAGGAGGAGGAGGAGGAGGAGGAGGAGGAGGAGGAGGAGGAGGAAGAGGAGGAAAGGAGGAGGAGGAGGAGGAGGAGTAGGAGGAGGAGGAGGAGGAGGAGGAGGAGGAGGAGGAGGAGGAGGAGGAGGAGGAGGAGGAGGAGGAGGAGGAGGAGGAGGAGGAGGAGGAGGAGGAGGAGGAGGGATGGGATACTATTCTGCCAAGGTGGAACGCATGAAAGAGGACCCAAATGAGTTGACTTTTGAGTCGGTGGAACTCAAAAGGCACCTCGGTGGAACTCAAAAGGCACCTCGGTGGAACTCAAAAGGCAGCTCGGTGGAACTCAAAAGGCACCTCGGTGGAACTCAAAAGGCAGCTCGGTGGAACTCAAAAGGCACCTCGGTGGAACTCAAAAGGCACCTCGGTGGAACTCAAAAGGCACCTCGGTGGAACTCAAAAGGCAGCTCGGTGGAACTCAAAAGGCAGCTCGGTGGAACTCAAAAGGCAGCTCGGTGGAACGCATGAATGTGGACCCAAATGGAGCGACATGGATTTGGAACGAAACTAGAAGATCACATTGCCAACACTGAAGCACAACTACCGCAGGTGTGCATGACGCAGTGCCTGGAGACATTTCCTTACAGAGTTTGCAGGGGGAGAGCGCCAAGGGCGGGTGGCAGATACCCTTTGAGGTAGTTTCCCATCAGCCCTCTGCAACAAGGGTACATGGCATGTAGATGTATGCGGATGGCATGTAGATTTCATGGGGATTTCATGTAGATGCCATGTGGATGGCATGTTGTGTGGATAGCATGTGGATGGTATGTGGATGGCATGTGGATTGCATGTGGATGGCATGTGGATGGTATGTGTATGGCATGCGATGTGGTTGGCATGTAGATGGTGTGTGTTTATGACATGCAGTGTGGATCGCATGTGGATGGCATGTGTTTATGACATGTGGTGTGGATGGCATATGTATGGCATGTATTTATGACATGCGTTGTGGATCGCATGTGGACGGTATGTCTTTATGCCATTCGGTGTGGATCGCATGTGGATGGCGTGCAGGTGGTATGTGGGTGGAAATGCGGCGTCGTATGTCCAGTTCGGAGGGATGAGTCCTCTTGTGCTACGAGGGATGTGGGTGTTACAATAAACATGGGTGTTACCAAGAACGTGGGTGTTACAAGGATTTTGGGTGTTATATTGGATATGGGTGTTAAAAGGGATTTTGGTGTTACAATGGATGTGGGGTGTTGCTAGGGATGTGGTTATTACAAGGGATGTGGGTGGCACAGGGATGTGGATGTTACAAGAGATGTGTGTGTTACAATGGATGTGGGTATAACGAGGGAAGTAAGTTCTACAAAAGACGTTAGTGTCACAAGGGACATGAGCGCAAACAACTCCATATGAGTATGAACAATGCAGATGAGTGCCAAGAATGCAGATGAGTGCCAAGAATGCAGATGAGTGCCAAGAATGCAGATGAGTGCCAAGAATGCAGATGAGTGCCAAGAATGCAGATGAGTGCCAAGAATGCAGATGAGTGCCAAGAATGCAGATGAGTGCCAAGAATGCAGATGAGTGCCAAGAATGCAGATGAGTGCCAAGAATGCAGATGAGTGTCAAGAATGCAGATGAGTGCCAAGAATGCAGATGAGTGCCAAGAATGCAGATGAGTGCCAAGAATGCAGATGAGTGCCAAGAATGCAGATGAGTGCCAAGAATGCAGATGAGTGTCAAGAATGCAGATGAGTGTCAAGAATGCAGATGAGTGTCAAGAATGCAGATGAGTGTCAAGAATGCAGATGAGTGTCAAGAATGCACATGAGTGCCAAGAATGCACATGAGTGCCAAGAATGCAGATGAGTGTCAAGAATGCAGATGAGTGTCAAGAATGCAGATGAGTGTCAAGAATGCAGATGAGTGTCAAGAATGCAGATGAGTGTCAAGAATGCAAATGAGTGCCAAGAATGCAGATGAGTGTCAAGAATGCAGATGAGTGTCAAGAATGCAGATGAGTGTCAAGAATGCAGATGAGTGCCAAGAATGCAGATGAGTGCCAACAATGCAGATGAGTGTCAAGAATGCAGATGAGTGTCAAGAATGCACATGAGTGCCAAAAATGCACATGAGTGCCAAGAATGCAGATGAGTGTCAAGAATGCAGATGAGTGTCAAGAATGCAGATGAGTGTCAAGAATGCAGATGAGTGTCAAGAATGCAGATGAGTGTCAAGAATGCAGATGAGTGCCAAGAATGCAGATGAGTGTCAAGAATGCAGATGAGTGTCAAGAATGCAGATGAGTGTCAAGAATGCAGATGAGTGCCAAGAATGCAGATGAGTGCCAAGAATGCAGATGAGTGCCAAGAATGCAGATGAGTGTCAAGAATGCAGATGAGTGTCAAGAATGCAGATGAGTGCCAAGAATTCAGATGAGTGTCAAGAATGCAGATGAGTGCCAAGAATGCAGATGAGTGCCAAGAATGCAGATGAGTGCCAAGAATGCAGATGAGTGTCAAGAATGCAGATGAGTGTCAAGAATGCAGATGAGTGTCAAGAATGCAGATGAGTGTCAAGAATGCAGATGAGTGTCAAGAATGCAGATGAGTGTCAAGAATGCAGATGAGTGTCAAGAATGCAGATGAGTGCCAAAAATGCAGATGAGTGCCAAGAATGCAGATGAGTGCCAAGAATGCAGATGAGTGCCAAGAATGCAGATGAGTGCCAAGAATGCAGATGAGTGTCAAGAATGCAGATGAGTGCCAAGAATGCAGATGAGTGTCAAGAATGCAGATGAGTGTCAAGAATGCAGATGAGTGTCAAGAATGCAGATGAGTGTCAAGAATGCAGATGAGTGCCAAGAATGCAGATGAGTGTCAAGAATGCAGATGAGTGTCAAGAATGCAGATGAGTGCCAAGAATGCAGATGAGTGCCAAGAATGCAGATGAGTGCCAAGAATGCAGATGAGTGTCAAGAATGCAGATGAGTGTCAAGAATGCAGATGAGTGTCAAGAATGCAGATGAGTGTCAAGAATGCAGATGAGTGTCAAGAATGCAGATGAGTGTCAAGAATGCAGATGAGTGCCAAGAATGCAGATGAGTGCCAAGAATGCAGATGAGTGTGAAAAGTGCATATGAGTGCGAAAAGTGCATATCCATTTGAAACAAGGTGCAAAATTTCGGCAGGGCGTTTTTTCCATGGTTTTTTTCCGATCGTTTTTTTCGGTGATTTTAGGAAAAAAATGCCGAATTTTTAATAGAGCGTTTCAGGTGTTTTTTTCTTTTTAGTCCTAAACGTCCACCAGATCCGCGCATTTCGTCCGCCAAAACGCGAGATCCGCACATTTTGGCGGGCGAAATGTCAGATCCGCGCACTTCTTCCACAAAAAGCGCGGGATCCAGCACATTTCAGCAGGCGAAATGCCAGATCCGCGCATATCGGCGGGCGAAATGCCAGATCCGGACATTTCACTGGTATTTTTTCTTTTTTTTGAAAAAAAAAACAAAAAAAAACGGCCGATTTTTTTTACCATTTAAAAAAAATAATCCAAGCGTTTCAGTTTGTATTATACGGCTGTTTAATTCGGTACCGTACCATACAGTCTCAAAAGGAAAAAAAAAACGGCCGTATTTTCGAAAAGTGCATATGAGTCGAAAAGTGCATATCGGTACGAAAAGTGCATCTGAGTGCGAAAAGTGCATATGAGTGCGAAGAATTGCCTAAGACTGTGCACACATGCACATTAATACGAGCAGCAGCATATGATCGCGCATGAACACACATGATCATGCATAAGTAGTCTACTTTGTGCCTCTGTATCCTCCAGATAGACCAGAGGATCCATGGGTACGAACCAGTGCCACGCATACATACAAGTGTTGTGAAAGCATTCATGGGAGGTATGCGCCTGCATACTTACGCGGAAAAATCATGCATACATAAAAGCCAGGATCATGCATACATAAAAGCCAGGATCATGCATACATAAAAGCCAGGATCATGCATACATAAAAGCCAGGATCATGCAAACGCACAGAAAGGTGAGAAGAGGGAGCTCCCCCAGAAAGGCAGGCACGGATCCCACCAGGCTGTTGTAATTGAGGTCCCTGTGGCTCGCATACGAGTGCAGGGGAGGGCGGGGCAAAGCAGGGGAGGGCATTTGAGTCAATGCAACGGCACCCCACCAGGTTGTGGTTCTTGAGGTCCCTGTGCCTCGCGTATGGGTGAAGGGGAGGCGGGGAATGGGAGGTCATGGGATGTGGTTTGCTGCAGGCTCATGGAGAACCGTTGAGACACGATAGTGCAACTGGGCATGAACCATGGCCACAGCACTAGTTGGCGATCAATAGGCTTCTTGTTACTGTTGCAGCAGTTGGCACGCACGGCATGTGACCCTCACACCATGTGATACTCGCAGCAAGTGACACCTGCAGCATGTGACACTTACAGCAAGTGGCACCTGCAGCATGAGACACTTACAGCAAGTGGCATCTGCAGCATGAGACACTTACAGAATAATAAGTCCAGTAAGAGCAACCAGCCCTGAGGGGATGGACCCATTGATCCCTGAGTTGTAGAAGCTTCTGATGAGACCAATCATGCCATCAGAAGAGGGGTGCACATGGGTTAGGAGGGGCGCACCGATGGGACGAAAGAGGAATGGGACATGCACGTGGGGCATGCCCTCCAGAATGCATGCCATTACAACAGGGGCGCACAGATGAAGGAAATGTTTTCAACGAGGCATTTCTTACCTAGAGAACATTCGTGGGGAGGGTATGGGATTGCAAGCAAGGCTTGTGAAGCAAGGCTTACAGCTCTTCGAGGCAAGGCTTGTGAGGCAAGGCTTACAGCTCTTCGAGGTTGGTGAGGGCAGAGATGGCGCTAGGGATGGTGTTGCCCGTGCGGTTGTTGCGTTTCAGATCACTGCTTGCAGGCAGGGAGGGATAAGAGGAAGAGTGAGGAATGAGAGGTGCATGCCTATGGCATGTGATTGTTGGCAGGTGCGTGTGCACGTCCGTGTGCGTGCCTGCGTGCGTGCGCGTGTGTGTACGCACGCGTGTGCGTGCGTGCGCGTGTGAGTGTGTGTGTGCATGCACGGGTGCACGCGTGCATGTGCATGTGCATGTGTGTGCGTGATTTTGCGTGGCAGCATGCCTTCACATGCAGCCCAGCCATCCCTAAACTGTGCTGCAACTGCTTACAATGTCTTCAGGCTCGTAAGGTTCCCAATGCTCTCAGTCAGCGGCCCAATAGCGTTGCCATCCAGCACCCTGCAGGTGGGGGGGTGTGTTTGACAGGGAACGGTGTGCGGTTGGAAGCAAGGGGCGTGTGGCTGGAAGCAAGGGGCGCGTGGCAGAAAGCGGCGTGCGGTTGAGCATGGTAAGAAGGTGGCTTGCATACAGCTGAGAGGTTGTGGAATTTGGAGGATTCTGTGAGGTGCGAGGTGCGTCAAAAGCAGATGGCATACAGCTCAGTGAGGTTGTGGAGTTTGGAAAAGGAGTCAGGGATGGGACCCGTGAGCTTGTAGTCCACGCCATCCCCGAAAATGTCCCTGATAGGGAATCAAAGGGAGAAAGAGGAGAAGTAGGAGAAGGAGAAGAAAGAGAAGAAAGAGGAGAAAGAGGGAGGATGTGAAGGAGAGACAGAAGACAAGTGGGTAGTGAGAGAGGCGCATGTGCGTGATTTCGACTGTCCATCTGAAGCTGATTGCTGACGGCAGTTGATGAACGTCAGATGGAGCAGCAGGTGAGTGCGCTGGGTTCCTAGCTTTCACGAAGCAGGTTCCTAGCTTCAACGAAGAAGGTTCCAATTGAGCCACTCACAGAAAAGAAAGGAAGCTTCAGTCTGAATATTTGAGACTGCCCAGTAATCCTCACACAGTGCTCCCTCACAGCAGGCATGAGAGTGGCTCACAGGTGGTGCAGGCATGAGAGTGGCTCACAGGAACTGCAGGCTGCTCATGTTGCCAAGGGACTCCGGAAGGCTCCCATTCTCCACTCCTGCTATGTTCCTGTCGGGGCAGAGGCAGGGGGGGGGGGGGGGGGGGAGGAGGGGAGAGGCAGGAGTGGCATGGGAAGTTTGAAATGGGGGGAGGAATATGGGGGGGGTTTGTTTCTGGGAAGTGCGAAGGGACTCCAGAATTCTCACATTCTCCACGCCATGTATCTGCCTGTCAGGGGAGGCATGGGGGGTATCGCATGGGGGGATTCCGGGAAGTGCCATGGGGGGGAGAGCGAGGCTGGGGAGTGGCAAGGGGGAAATGCTTTTTGGGAAGTGGCATGGGGAGAAGGCCTTAGGAATGCTCCCATTTTCCAATCCAGCTATCGTCCTGTCGGGGTAGAGCCATGGAAGGATAGCCATATGGGGATTTCCTCGCATTGGGGGGGATGGGAGGAGTGGAATGGGGAGGGGGTGGCATGGGGGGTGCAGCAAGCGTTAGAGCGCACCATGTATGGAAGAGAAAGATACAGGGGCGAAAAATGTACAGTGATTAGAACCATACAGGGGAGAGAACCATACAGGGGAGAGACTAACAGCACACAGGGAAGGGCAACATCCAGGGAATAGAAGCACACAGGGGAGAGCAACACTCATGGACGAGCAACATACAGGCCTTGCAGGTTGACTAGACTGCCCAAGCCAGAAGGGAGACTGCCGCCCACGCTCATGGAACTAAGATCCCTGCCACCCACACAACAGAAGTGTCCTTAGGACCTTGTTGTTTTACACAAACTTGGCAATAGGAACAAGGAGACATTTTCAGACAAACTCAAAGATATACGGCCATGGAGCTAAGATCCCTGCCACCCACACAGCACTTGAGTCTTTGAGAACACGCGGTTGCTTGCAAGTCCGGCAATAGACACAAGGAGTCATGATGGCACGACGATGCCTCGCTACCCACTCCCTTTATATGTTACTCCATTCACTCGAATTCCCTCTCAATCTATCGCATCTTCACTCCCTATAACCGCCTCTCATCTTCTCTCTCGCCCTCTCACCGCCTCTTATCCTTCCTCCCACTCACCCCACTCATGCTCACTCCCTCCCACCCCCTTTCATCCTCTATCCTCTCAACCCCTCTCATCCTCGTCCTTACAGCTTTGTAAGCCGAGTAAGGCCACTGATGGCGTTCGGAATGGTGGAAAAACGCGTGTAGAGTGTGGTGGGTCTGCGGTGGGGTATCGGGTGATGGTATTGGGGGCATAGTCGAGGAGAGGAAAGGGAGAGATTAAGAGAGAAAGAGAGGGAGGAAAGGGGAGGGAGGAAAGGGGAGGGAGGAAAGAGGGGGGAGGAAAAGGGAGGGAGGAAAGGAGGGTGGGGAGGGAATTGGGGGAAGGAAAGGGGACACATGTGGGACGGAGGAGAGGGGAGGAGGAAAAGGGGAGGGGAGGGGGGAAAGGGAGGGATGCAGCAATTCCAACTTGTGTGCAAGAAACATGATTTCTTTCTTTCTAGGAACCTTGCGCAATCCTTTTCCTTCACGGAGCTGTGTAGCTTACTCTATGGAGACAATGAACCCGTCGGCGTCGCACGACTTGAAGACCTGGTACTCCTGCCTTGACATACAGTCCCGGTCGAGAACCAGGCTCATGCCCCATGCCGCCTCCAACGCCTTCAGCGCTGGGACTGGTTTGGGGGGGTGAGAGGGTGGGGGGTGTGGGGGGTGTGAGGGGTGTCGTGGGTGTGGGGGGTGTGGGACGGGGGAGGGGCGGGGAGGTGGGGGGGCGGGGGGAGGGGGGGGAGGGGGGGTTTGAAGATGGTCCTGGCTTGACTTGCAGTCCCGGTGGAGAACGAGGCTCATGCCCCATGCCTCCTCCAACAACTCCAGCGCTGAGACTGGTTGGGGGGGGTGGAGGAGGGTTGGAGGGTTTGGGGAGGGAGGGGGGGGAGGAAAAATATTGGTCCTGGCTTGACTCGCCGTCCCGGTCGAGAACCAGGCTCATGCCCCATACCTTCTCCAGTGCCTCCAGCTTTCATTGCTGAAAGCACAAATGCGTCGGCGCCTGCCTTAAAAGGCAAATTGTCTTTGAATTGGGTGAACTGGACTGGAGCGGGGGTTGGGACATCTGGGGGACTTGGAGGATCGCAACTCGCTTCAGCGAAGCAGCTTGCCACAAGGTAGCGCTATCGGTGCGGCGTCCAGAGATTAAATCACCCTGCTGCGACGCCCGTCCCCAAAAATATGATAGCCTCACAAGCAATTGTCACCGAGAGTTGTTGCGTAAAGGGTTCGGGTTTCGGGTTTTCATCACAAACAGCATGCTCTTGATTCGGAATTGACTCACTTTGCGATGGGTCTATGAACGGCAGCGCTGATACAAGCCCTGGATTATGGTAGGAGGGATGGAGAAGGATGAGGGAGAGGAGGAGGAGGAGGAGACGACACGCCTCTCTGATTGTAGGCATCGCGCCGCGCCTCTTCAAGAAAATATTGCTTCGTAGCTCAATCGCAATCGGTAATGGTATGAGCTTCTTTCTCGGAGAAACTTGTCCAAATTACAGTTACCAGGAAATTGAGGCTAGAATGGAAGGCGAGGGATCTAACTGGGGTTACTACTAGTCGTAGTGCCAGCGGTGCTATTCAAGAAACTTCACGCGATGGGCTACTAACTTCAAGACGCAATGGTGGAAGTTGGAAGAGGAGGAAATGTAATGGCCGACATTTCAAGATGTGCGGGGAGGGAAATGTTGCATGTTGACGAAGCAGATGCGCGCCTCGTTCACGACGCTGTTTTTGGTGGTGCGATGCGATATCTCACGGTCACGTGGTTTCAGCTCAGTTTCGGACACCGAGGCAAAGTTCTCAATTCCGTCAGAGAAGAATTATGACGTGGCTATGCGCTATGTCGTGGTCCATTGGGGTTGCTGTGCTGACCTTGCGGGCTTCGACGACTCAAGCTCGGTCAACGCGCTCCTGCCCTTCCGCCCTCAAGTCGGTGTAACCTGTTCACGTGCTGTCGAGTCTTGAGGCACGCTGGATAGCGACGTCCAATGGCATTCCCGCTTGGGCAGAAATGCGCAGTCACATTCCAGGTCAGCAGCATAATCTGGGCTTGCTGATCTGGCTTAGCAGTAACAGGTGCATAGGACATGAAAACAAGGATTCTACACTTACCAATGTCCTTTTATAACATGGACCCATCCAAAATCTCAAAAATTTAGGCCTAGATTGGGCGCTCCTTTTGAGCCCATCTCTTTCGCCTCTAAGTTTGCAGTAATTCATTCGCTTCTTTAATTCAGTCCTGCACTCATAACAACCTCCTCAAATGTTACTGCAGGTTGCTGGTGGTGACCATAGCATGGCCAAGTAAATCAACAAATCCTTACTTTCTCGCATCACCCTTCAGCACCATTCTGCACCCGTTTGAAATCCGCTCACTCCTCAAACGTATCTCCCTCATCAGGTCATGCGCCTGCCCTGGATAAAACCTCCCCCTCACCTCCTCCTCCCCCCGCCCTTCCCCCAGCGCCTCCTTTGCCGGCACCACATGCTGCCACCAAAATTCCTCAAGCGCAGTGAACAGTAACCTCCAGTACTCCTTGTCCCTTTCCACCCTAAACAGTGCACTGCCGCCCATTTTCGTCCACACGAAGAAATCCAGCCAATCGCGGTCAAATATTTCTAGCAGGCCCTGGATCTGGGGCATGTAGTAGAACGGTACGGAGGGGTATGGAGAGGCCGAGAGCGGTGACCCGCGGTTCCAGGGGCACTTGATTTCAAGGACGCCAGGGGAGAGGGGGGAGGAGTGCAGGGAGAGAGGGTCGGAGGGGAGGAGGCCGTCCGGGGAAGCACCGAGCCAAGAGAAGGTTGGGTCGTGGTGCTTGTAGATCTGGGAAAAGCCAGGACACAGAAATAAAGGGGAAAGAGGGTCAGAGGGTACAAGGCTGTGAGGAGTACCGTAGAACCGACCGAGCCCAGGGAAGGTGTCAACAAGATGCCAAGGTAGAGAACTTGATTGGTTCAGGAGTGAATCAGAGAAGGTAGGGAGTTTGGAACAACAAGGGAAATGAAGCAGAGAGGGAGTCTGAGTCTCCATCTCGTGCCCCCACCACTGCATTGGCTCACACACTGCATTGGCTCACACACTGCATTGGCTCACACACTGCATTGGCTCACACACTGCATTGGCTCACACACTGCATTGGCTCACACACTGCATTGGCTCACACACTGCATTGGCTCACACTCTGCATTGGCTCACACTCTGCATTGGCTCACACTCTGCATTGGCTCACACTCTGCATTGGCTCACACACTGCATTGGCTCACACACTGCATTGGCTCACACACTGCATTGGCTCACACACTGCATTGGCTCACACACTGCATTGGCTCACACACTGCATTGGCTCACACACTGCATTGGCTCACACACTGCATTGGCTCACACACTGCATTGGCTCACACACTGCATTGGCTCACACACTGCATTGGCTCACACACTGCATTGGCTCACACACTGCATTGGCTCACACACTGCATTGGCTCACACACTGCATTGGCTCACACACTGCATTGGCTCACACACTGCATTGGCTCACACACTGCATACATGCTCTCAGTCGCACCAATACATGCAAGTTTCAGCTCCCTTTCTTGCCTTACCTAAACGACCTATGCATCAAGGACGTAGGTACAACTCCCTTACCCATACACAGCCATGCCTAAAACTCCCTTACCCCATACATAGCCATACCTACAACTCCCTCTACACATGCACAGCCATACCTACAACTCCCTCTACTCATGCACAGCCATACCTACAACTCTCTTACCCCATGCACAGCCATACCTACAACTCTCTTACCCCATGCACAGCCATACCTACAACTCTCTTACCCCATACACAGCCATACCTACAACTCCCTCTACACATGCACAGCCATACCTACAACTCCCTCTACTCATGCACAGCCATACCTACAACTCTCTTACCCCATGCACAGTCATACCTACAACTCTCTTACCCCATGCACAGCCATACCTACAACTCCCTTACCCCATACATAGCCATACCTACAACTCCCTCTACACATGCACAGCCATACCTACAACTCCCTCTACTCATGCACAGCCATACCTACAACTCTCTTACCCCATGCACAGCCATACCTACAACTCCCTTACCCCATACACAGCCATGCCTACAACTCCCTTACCCCATGCACAGCCATACCTACAACTCCCTTACCCCATGCACAGCCATACCTGAAACGCTCGGTGCTCCACCTCCCCTCCAGTAAGACGTGCATACTCAAGCAAAGCCTCCTCCTCCTTCCCCTGCCCCCACTGCGTGGCCTCGTTCCCTGCGAACGGCGCTCTCACGCCCACCTTCTCCTCCCACAGCTGCTGCCGCCCCTTGGGGTAAAACCCCACTGCCTTCTCAAACGCGCTCGCTGTCAGCCGCCCCGCTCTCATCGCAAACCACTCCTCTGTGCGCTGCTCCTCGCCCCCCTTGTCCAGATTCGATGTATCTTCCTTGCCAATTGTCAGTTTTGCTGTATCCGCCTGTGGTAAAATGAGTTTCGGTTGCTCTGTCCAAATCAGCCCTATTTTGGAGTCAGAATCTCCCCCTTGCCGCTTCTCCCCTGCCTCTGACGCTCGTCCATCCTCTGCTCTGCACTCCTTTGCTCTCTCTCTCATCACATCCCCTCTCCCCTCTCCCAATCCTTGTGTCCTCCCTCCTCCTACGTCTGACCCTAACCGAGGCTCCCCCTTCCTCTCACTCGGCGTCTCGAGCGAGCCTGCAGGGGCTTTAACAGTCGTCTCACGTGATGTCAACGATGCTGGTGGTGATGCTGGTGGTGATGTTGATGGTGATTGCGATTTCGATGCAGGCGATTTGTACGCTGGTGGCGGTATTCTGCTGCGGATGATGGCCAGCTGTTGCTGCACATACTCCCAGCGGTCTGTAATGTAAAGAGGAGTGGAGAGGAGAAGAGAGGATAGAGGATGGAGGAGGATTACCAAGAGAATAGAGGAAAAGAGAGGAGAGGGGAGAAAGGCAGTGGTGGCATCTGGCTGCGAATGATTGCCAGTTGTCGCCGCACACACTCCCAGCGGTCTGCAGGAGGGACGGAAAGGAAAATCACCAAGTCATTGCAGGGAAAACACGATACGCGTTCGGGTTTAAGGTTTCAGGTTTAGGGAGAACGACAGAAGGAGGGGACGCATATATGGAGCACGAAAGGTTCAACCACAAGGTGGTACAAGGAACAACTAACTAAGATACTTATGTTTCTCACCTGGCCAAAAATGGTAATGGCTCCTTACCTGGCAGGATGACTATGTTTCGCCTGGCTCTGTTTACAACCAGCCCTTGCATCTGCTTTGAGCCGACTCAATAAATGATGAAGGCTGCTCACCTGGCGGGATGACTATGTTCCCTCGGACTCTGTGAGCGACCAGCCCTTGCATCCCTCCCTTTCGTCTACCATCCTCCTTTCTTCCAGCCTCCCATCCGGCCCCCTCCCTCTCCCGTCTTCCCCTCTCAGCCCCTTCCTTCCCAAGCGCTTTCCACTCATCTTCCCCCACCCCTTGCGCCTCCGTCTCCCTTCTCTCCTCCTTCCGTTCCACGTCAGAAGGAGCTGCAGCCGCCCGACGCCAGACTCCCCTTTGAGGACTCTTCATACCCGCTATAAGCACTCCCCTCGTTTTACCACTCTGACCCGTCTCCCCTTGCAATTCCCTTTGCAGATCCTTCCTTCCCTCCTCCCGCCTTTCTACCTCTGAAGCAGCTGCAGCCGCGCGACTCCACACTCCCCTTTGAGACCTCTTCAAGCCCGCTATAAGCACCCCCGTTGTTTTGCCGCTCTCATGACCCGCTGCAAACAATCCCCTTCGTTGACCAGGCTCCTCCCTTCCAGTAGTAATCCTCTCGCCGTCCTTCTCCGCTCCACTCCCCATTTCAGCCGCTTTCCTCTCAGGTTCCATCTCCCCTTGCAAATCCTTCCTTCCCTCCTCCGTCCTTTCCTCCTCTGAAACGGCAGCAGCCGCCCGACCCGCAAAACCCCGTTGACCGGGACTGTGGGAGGCCGGGTGACGTGGCACGGAGAGTCCTGGAGAGACCCCACGTGGCAACGATATGAGAGGGACGGAAGGCGCGGAAGGTGCGGAAGGTGCGGAAGGGCGGGGAGCTGAAACGATCGAGGGGACAGGCGGCGCGAGAGACGACGAGGACGCGCCGTGGGAGGCTCTGCGAAACGGGGTTACGACGACGTCGCGGCTGCGCGGGTTACCACTTGGAAGGCCAGGGGCTATGTTACGGCTGGTCGGGTTACCACTGGTACCCACTTGGGGAGTAGTATCGGCATGATGGGTGGTTGTAGTAGCAGTGTGATTACTGCTGTCAACCTTGCTGTTGCTACTCTGGTCTTCGGTACTAGTAGTGAGCATGCTGCTAGTACTACTTCTAGTAGCGACCTTGCTATGCTCGGAAGCCCCACTCTGGCCTTCGCTAGTACTGCAGCCGACCTTATCGCGAACCCAACGATCCTGACGTCGGCCCAAGTGCGTGGATCGTCCAGTGACGTTCCGCCACGTGTCACGGGAGGCATTGCCGGCGGCCGTCACGGTACCGGTCCATTTCCCTCTCCTTGCCAGCAGCACGGCAAAACGCGAATTCATATCGACGGGTCCGACGTCGACTTCTGAACCGCCGCCGGCTGCCAGAAATAATGATGCGGATCGCTCGAACCAAGCTCCCGATGACAGATTGATCTCCGCACTCAGGCGTATCTGATGCGATCTTATCCGTTGCTGTGTCGGTTCGAATCGTACTCGAACGCCGGTTCGCCACGTGGAGATGCTTCCGGGTGCGTAGATCAGCCTGTCGGGCAAGAAAGCTCGGCGCGTTTCGAACGAACCTCTGACTAGCTGATCAGTTGGCCCGCTCATCTCATTGGCTAGGCGGTCTAAGACGATACCGCCGGGCAAGCATTAGTAAGCGGCAGCGAAGAAAACATCACAGGGACGTACAGCCGAGGTGATAACGACACGTGTCAGATCATGAACAACGCGAGGAGTCATCGACAGGCTACTAGCTGGAGGTCGATGATAAAATGCTCCGTCCAGTCAGACTCGAGAGGTATGTGTAGCCTTTGACGACCTCCTGCGCGGGAGAACTGGTACACTGGAGTTCCCAAGGTCGCACAGCCATGCTTGAGTTCCCAGGGGATGAAGTCCGTTCAGAAGTTTGAATCAGGACGCTGCTTACAGTGTACTTCGATAGGACATAAGGGTTATGAATTTGTGAAATATTTATGCACGAAACACCTATCCCTCTTGTTTCCTTCTGAGTTCGTGTTCAGCAGTGCGTCAGCTTGAAATCTTTCCCGATAACCTTTCTCAACCGTTCTAAAAATGTGTCAAACCGTGTTTTAACGCGAAAGAACATACTCAATCCCACTAAAGCAGCAGCGAGAGAACTCCTGAGGCGTCAACAGCAATGCCCCTGAATCCCGAATTCCGGCAGACCTTCTCGGACTGTCCACTGGCAGTGATGCCAGCAGCGCGATCAGTGCTCCCCTGTGACCCTAGGACCTCGGGGTCCTCGCCTTGTGACGCTCGTTTACCGCTAGGCAGCCACTCTCGATTTCGACTACCGTAGACACTCCACCTCCGCTGGAAATCCTTCCACCGCCACCTGAGTTCGTTTCGCGGTGCACGTCAACGTCACGTTCTCGCGTGCCGTTTTCTATCGATCAGGGTCTTTCCGATCGCGCCATTGTAAGCCTTTCGTTTCAGTCGCTCTTTCCGTCACCTGCGGGCTCCTCCCCTGCTTCGCTATAGACTCTGGATTCGAGTTACTCAAAGCTTGCTCTCGTGCGGATTTCACTTTCTGAGAGCGCGCGAAGTAAAGCAGGCAGCCTTGCTTGCTGTTACTAGCCGCGGAGCGTGAGGTTCCGAGTAACAGCAAGTCCTTTTCCGACTCGTAGCAGGTAGGAGTCTAGTTTTAAGGCGCCTAAAAACTAGACTCGTATCACGCGGCTTTTCCGAGTCGTAGCAGATCCGGTGACATCCCGTGCGAGCCAAGGCCCTCCGCGATCACCTGACTGTCTGTGTCTGCCTTTGCCTTCACCTGCCTCCGCCTGCCTGCTTCCGCCTGCCTGATCGGTTTCCCGCACCACTTTCTACCGCAATGGACCTCCGAGAAACGGTTTCGCTGCCTCTGCCTCCCTCTCTCCGCTCGCGCCTCCTCTCCGCCGGCTTCCTCACAGTTGCCGACTTCCACACGCTGAAGCCAGAGGATCTCGCACGGGGTGAGTGGTAGGACGATACGGTTCATGCGAGAAAGGTCTGGTCAACTTCGTTGTCTGATTCCCCCCGCCGGCTGTGATGGGAGTGGTTCATGGCAGCATTCCATCTGGATGGTCTCAGCGTGTTTGCTTGCAGATCTCTGTTTGAATCTGGAGCGCTCCCTCCCCCTTACCCAATCCCCAGACGCGTCTCTGTCCATCGAGGATGCAAGGCACGTGCTGGCGGTGGCTGCTAGGAGCACTGGCAGCATTCAAGCCGGGTCGTCTCAGCCTCACTTACATTCCCCATTCCCCAACCCCCAGATGCCTCTCTGTCCATCGAGGATGAAAAGCACGTGGGGTGGCCGTTGGGAGCATTCAAGCCGGTTCCTCTCTGCCTATGTGCTTCGAAGCCTCTCTTACATTCCCCTATCCCCAACCCCCGACCCCCCAGACGCGTCTCTGTCCATAGAGGATGCAAAGCACGTGCTGGGCGTGGCTGTGGGCAGCATTCAGACTAGCATCATTCCCACCGCTGCTGGCATTGCAGGTTCGTGTGGAAAGACACAGTTTATGTTTTTTATAACCCTTACTTTTGGAGCGTTGGCTACTCTTTTTCTTTTTTTCTGGTGCAGCATCTACCATGTTCAGCATGCTCTGTGTCGCTCCGTTGTGCGTCTTTCCCACAACATGCGTTTTGCTTGCTTGCTCTCAGGGCCACGGAACTGAACGCATGCAGGGGCTGAACGCATGTGTCTCTTCTGTGCTACATGCAGGGGCGCGACCCGCATGGGAGCTGCTAGAGGCGGAGAGGGGCGAATGGAGGGCGCAGACGATGGGCCACAAGAGAGCAGCATGTGAAGGGCTCTGTTTCCCCTAGTGTTGAAGCACTGAGTGCATTCTATCTTCTTCTGTGCTGCATGCAGGGGCGCGATCAGCGTGGGAGCTACTAGAGGCGGAGAGGGGCAGAGGGAGGGCGCAGAGACGATGTGTGCTGAAGTGCCGAATGTATGCGAATCCTTCCGTGCTGCATGCAGGGGCACGATCAGTATGGGAGTTGTTGGAAGTGGAGAGCGGCAGAGGGAGAGTGCAGACGACTTGTGACTGAATTTTTGGACGCATGTGTGTCTCTTCTGTGCTGCATGCAGGCGCGCGATCAGCATGGGAGTTGTTGGAAGCGGAGAGGAGCAGGGGTAGGGTCCACACGATGAGTGCTGAGCTGGATCAGATGCTTGGAGGAGGGGTGGCGCTGCAAGAACTGACAGAGATATGTGAGTGGTGTGCGGTGCGGTGCGGTGGTGTGCGGTGCTGTGTGGTGTAATGCATGTGAAGGGGAGCAGAGGGAGGGTGCACACGATGAGTGGTGAGCTGGATGCCATGCTCGGCGGGGGGGGCGCGCTGCAAGAACGGACAGAGATATGTGAGATGCTCGTCACATCACTGCAATGTATGTGTGGGTGTTGCGGGCTTCTTTTTGCGTGAGTGTGAGGCAAATGTGAGTGTGTCCTTGGAAGGGGGGTGGCGCTGCAGGCTACTGCAGGCAGCTGCCTTGCAGTAGCTGGCTGAAATATCTGAGAGGTATACTCTACAGCGACATATTTTTCATGTGTGATGTACAGTACACTGCCATAATCTTCCTTCATTTCACCCATCCTCGTCTGTTGCTTTCAGGTGGTCCGCCAGGAGTTGGCAAGACACAGCTGGGGTAAGGTTGAGAAGGGATTCGGCTTTCTCAGCTGCTTTTGGGTTTGCCCTGTGCTAGTGACTTGAGGCTTGCTGTGCCGCGCTGTGCTGCTTATTTTTCTCCTGTTTTGTTCTGCTCCTCCCTACCAGCATGCAGCTAGCTGTCAACATGCAAACACCTAACACTTCTTCACATGAGCCCCCAGCACCCCAACACATGCATTGTAGCTCTCTGCCCTGTGGTTCTGGTTCTGGCCTTTTTCTGTTCTGCTTCTTCTCCCTGCCAGCATGCAGCTGGCCATCAACGTGCAGACACCTCCCCGTGTAAACCCCCAACACCCCAACACACACACTTTCGCTCCCTCCCCTCTGTGGCTCTGTTGTGTGTGCGTGTGGTGCTTTTTCTCCCTGCCAGCATGCAACTGGCCATCAACGTGCAAACGCCCGCTGTGCTGGGAGGGGTGGAAGGAGAGGCCGTCTACATCGGTGAGCCTCTACCTCCCTGCCCCCCACTCGTGATTGTACTCAACGTGCTTACTACACTGTTTCACTCTGTTCTCAACGTGCCTACTATACCAGACACAGAAGGCAGCTTCATGGTGGAGCGAGCCGCAGAGATGGCCGATGCGTGGGCTGCTCACTGCCATGCACGCCTGTGCTTGATGCCCGGCCCTGGATATTGCCGCTCTGGAGAACCGCCTGACTTTGTCCCTCTTCCTGGCAGACACGAAGGGCAGCTTCATGGTGGAGCGAGCAGCAGAGATGGCCAAAGCATGGGCTGACAGGAAATCGACCTGACGAGGTTGCTGATAGGGCACTGCCATGCGTGCGTGTGGTCGATGCCCTGCCTATATGTCGCTGCTTCAATAACCGTCCGTCCTTATCCTTTCTCCTGGCAGACACGGAGGGCAGTTTCATGGTGGAGCGAGCAGCGGCAATGGCGGATGCATGGGCGGCTCACTGCAACGCTGCTGCCGCCGCAATAGATACACCTGCCCCATATACCACCACCCCTTATCAACGCCCCAATCAGCAGCACTCTCAACACCATTACCAGCAGCACCAATCCCAGCACCAGCACTCTCAGCAACACATGCTGGCCAGTGCACTTGGTGCAGCATCGGCAGCAGTGGCATCCAGAGTGTCGCGGGCAGCAGCGCTGGCAGGCGTGCACTACCTGCGGGTGTATGACCACACAGAACAGACGGCCCTCGTTCACTCTCTGCCGCACCTGCTTGCCGTACATCCCAAGGTACGGCGCCTTGAGTCGTGTGTGCATGGTTATGACTAGCGGCGGCAGCGGCGGCGGCAGCAGCAGCAGCAGCAGCGCTGGCGGGCCGCGGGTGTGCACTACCTGCAAGTTTATGGCCGCATGGAGCAGACGGCCCTGGTTCTCTCCCTGCCACACCTGCTTGCAGCGCACCCCAAGATGTGTGCATGTGCATGGTACAATGTACTGCTCGTGCTCCCTGCCCTTATGCCCCATGGCTTCACTGACATGCCCCTCCGGCCCCCTGCCTCGCCCTCTCTCTGTTGTCCCCCTCCGCACACGCTCCTTTTTCCCCCTCCCTTCCAAAGGTCAAGATCATGACAATCGCCCACAGTGTCGCCTTCCACTTCTGCTGTGGCTTCACCGACATGGGTCTGTGCTCCCACATCCGCTCCCCCCCTCCCCCCTCCCCCTCCCCACGACCCATCTTTTTTCTTTTCCCCTCCTTTCCCTTCCGCAGGTCAAGCTCGTTCGCCGTCATCGACTGAGTCCCCTTCCACTTCCACCATGGCTTTTGAGGCGTCGACTCAAACCACAGCTTCTCTGACATGGGTATCCACTCCCGCCTGATTGCCCTTTCTCTTCCCCCCCCTCCTCCCTTTCCGCCTTCCTCTCACTGGTCATCAATCAATAGTGTGACCTTCCACGTCCGCCATGGCTCTCATAGTCATTGACTGTGGCACCTTTCACTTCCGCCATGGCTTCGCCAATTTCCCCCTGCGCTCCCTGCGCCATGCCCTTACAACATACTTACCTCTTTCCTATTCCACATGTCACATGCTGCAGGTCAAGATCATCACATCGTCATCAACGGTGTCACCTTCTACTTCTGCCACGGCTTCACCGACTGCTTCTCCGCCCCCGCCTCCATGCATCATCATTACCTACTCTACTCAACATGTATTATTCCATTCCTCCCTTCCGCAGGTCAGGCTAGTGGGCATCGATAGTGTCACCTTCCACTTCCGCCACGGCTTCTCCCACATGTGCCTCTGCTCCGGTCCCCTCTCCGTTTCACTCGTTCCCCCCTCGTTCTTCTCTCCCTTCCGTCACTGGCAGGTCAAGCTCGTCGTGATCGACAGTGTCATCTTCCACTTCTGCTGCGGCTTCACTCACATGGGTCCCCGCTCCCGCCTCCGCTCAACTCCCCATCCTTCTCCTCCCCTCCCCCCCCCCGTGCCCTGTCTTCTCTTCTCCGCTCCTTCCCTTCAGGTCAAGCTCATTGTGATGGACAGTGTCACCTTCCACTTCCGCCATGGCTTCACTGACATGGGCCTGCGCTCACGCCTGCTCGCCTCCATGGCCAGGGAGCTGCTGGCGATAGCAGATGAACACAACGTTGCTGTAAGCATAGCGCTTCCCAGATGACACATGCTGCATGCCTGGTGACTCTGTGTGTGTTTGTGATGCATGGAGCATTTGTGGCACATGTGTGCCTCCATGGCAAGGGAGCTGCTCGCTATAGCTGATGAATACAACGTCGTTGTAAGCCTCATGTGGCGGGGCATGATGCATGCTTGCTGGTATGTGAGCACTGACCATGGCACGTGGGTCACTCCTTGCATCCATGGCACGTGGGTCACTCCTTGCATCCATGGCACGTGGGTCACTCCTTGCATCCATGGCACGTGGGTCACTCCTTGCATCCATGGCACGTGGGTCACTCCTTGCATCCATGGCATGCGGGTCACTCCTTGCATCCATGGCACGTGGGTCACTCCTTGCATCCATGGCACGTGGGTCACTCCTTGCATCCATGGCACGCGGGTCACTCCTTGCATCCATGGCACGTGGGTCACTCCTTGCATCCATGGCACGTGGGTCACTCCTTGCATCCATGGCACGTGGGTCACTCCTTGCATCCATGGCACGTGGGTCACTCCTTGCATCCATGGCACGCGGGTCACTCCTTGCATCCATGGCACGTGGGTCACTCCTTGCATCCATGGCACGTGGGTCACTCCTTGCATCCATGGCACGTGGGTCACTCCTTGCATCCATGGCACGTGGGTCACTCCTTGCATCCATGGCACGCGGGTCACTCCTTGCATCCATGGCACGTGGGTCACTCCTTGCATCCATGGCACGTGGGTCACTCCTTGCATCCATGGCACGTGGGTCACTCCTTGCATCCATGGCACGTGGGTCACTCCTTGCATCCATGGCACGTGGGTCACTCCTTGCATCCATGGCACGCGGGTCACTCCTTGCATCCATGGCACGTGGGTCACTCCTTGCATCCATGGCACGCGGGTCACTCCTTGCATCCATGGCACGCGGGTCACTCCTTGCATCCATGGCACGCGGGTCACTCCTTGCATCCATGGCACGTGGGTCACTCCTTGCATCCATGGCACGCGGGTCACTCCTTGCATCCATGGCACGCGGGTCACTCCTTGCATCCATGGCACGTGGGTCACTCCTTGCATCCATGGCACGCGGGTCACTCCTTGCATCCATGGCACGTGGGTCACTCCTTGCATCCATGGCACGCGGGTCACTCCTTGCATCCATGGCACGTGGGTCACTCCTTGCATCCATGGCACGTGGGTCACTCCTTGCATCCATGGCACGCGGGTCACTCCTTACATCCATGGCACGTGGGTCACTCCTTGCATCCATGGCACGTGGGTCACTCCTTGCATCCATGGCATGTGGGTCACTCCTTGCATCCATGGCTCGGGAGCTGCTGGCGATAGCCGATGAAAGCCATGTTGCTGTGAGCTTCTACATTATGTTTCACGTGACAATTACCTCATAATGATGTTTCATGCGTCATGTGCATGGGTCATGGGTCATGGGCCATGGGTCATGGGTCATGGGTCATGGGTCGGGTCATGGGGTTTTCTAATCATGTGGCGTATGCAGGTGGTGCTGGTGAATCAAGTCACCACCAAAGTGGAGGGCGAGGTGTCAAGGCTTGTGCCTGCTCTAGGTGGGTCAAACGCTTGCTTCTCCACCTGCTCGCTTGCATTGCTTGTTTTCTTGCGTGTTCATCCCGATTGACCTGGGACCATGCCCCTGGTTTCACTGTGCAAGGGCGTGTCAAGGCTTGTGCCTGCTCTAGGTGGGTTTGCTTCTCTGCCTGCTGGTTCGCTCGGTTGCATTGCTTGTTTTCTTGCGCGTTTCTCCCGATTCACCTGGCATCAGGCCACTCGTTTCGCTGTGCAAGGAGATGTCAAGGCTTGTTCCTGCACTGGGTGGGTGTGGTTCTCTGATCGCTCGCCTGCTTTCTTGCATTGCTTTACCTGCATTGCGTTTTGCCAAAAAAAATATAGCACCATGCATCGAGCCCCGTCCACTGTTTTATCCACTCACCATGCATGCATCATAGCACGCTAAATTAGAGAGCATGCGCACCGGGGTTTCAGCCATCGCTTTCAGCCATCGGTTTCAGCCATCCGTTATGTTGGAAATCGTATTTCCAACACATTACTCAGCTACTCGCCTTATGCATCACGGCCCCCCACCTGCTGACAGATTGGGGGACCTGCACCCGTACTCCCCTCCAATCTGGAATGCAATGCATGTGAAACGTAGGCAATGCATGTGCACCAATTGCATAATTCTCTCTTGTCAGCAATGCATGTAAAACGTGTTCCCTCATAGTTGTCTCCGTATTCCCCTCCAATCAGGAAGGAGCTGGGCGCATGCGTGCACCATCACGTCTCTTCATTTTTCTTTAGCAGCACTTCATGTGAGCAATTTGCATTCACCAATTCAGCAATCCACCTCTCCCAATCCGCCATCCAATCAGGTGAGAGCTGGGCGCACGCCTGCACCAATCGCGTCATTCTCTTTTGGAGCGGCGGCCAGCGCTTTGCGCACCTCTTCAAGTCGCCCTACCTGCGGGCCGGCACAGCGCCCTTTACAGTCACATCTGAGGGGGTCAGGTCCTTAGAAGACGCACACAAGAGGCAGCGGCTGGACGGGTCGGAGAGAGCTCTGCTATTGGCAGGTCCGGGTGTTTGCTAGTACTGGTACGGTACCGTGTATTCTGTTCTGCTTCTACACTAGAAAACTGGGGTGGCTCGAGCTTTCCTGCCCTTCAAAGTGCTGCCAAACAACAAAAGCAGTAGGAAGCAGCTGGCTGGGTCCAATGCTGTACAGTGTGTATATAGTAGCTGCTTCACTAGTGGGTATTGGTAGTGTGCAATGCAAGACTGAGCATTGTATGGCAGCAGAACAGCAAGCCCTGATTTTTGAGGCGCCTCAAAAATAGCCCTGAGCTTTCTGCCTGCTGAAAGGATGTGGATTGTTGAAACCTCCATTTGCTTCAAGAATGAGAGCTACCGGTAACCGCAAGCAATGAAAGAATAAAAGAATAAGTATCCACAGTGTTGGAAATACCTTTCTCAGCCCAACGCACAGCCCGTCTTGTATGCACTGCAAGCACACACGACAGGATGGGAGGACCACCAACTTTTGCACACTGTGCCGCTGACACTTGAGCGCCATAGGCAGAGCGAGCTGAGCTGGCACTTGATTTGGTATGCCTTGGTGGGTTGACAAGCCGTCTCAGTTACATACGAGCATCTGGTAACTTGCTGCGGTTGGTATCGCCAAGATAACTCGCTCTCTCGTTTCTCCCCTTGCTCCTTCCACTTCTTCTCATCCCCCTTTCCCCTTCTTCTTCCCCTTCCCACCTTTGCCCGACCCTCCCAAATTCTTGAGCCCTTTCATAACAGAGTCTGCTCCTCTCCTTGCCCTCTCAGCAGCCTTCCTTAAACCATCAACCACTGCCCCCCCACCCTTCTTCCCTCCCCCTCCTCCTCCTCCTCTCCCCCCTCCCGCCCCACCTCCCGAACCACCATCACCTTTCCCCTTCCCTTTCCCGCTTTTTTTGCTGCCGGTTTGCTCGCTGCCCGGGTCAGATTCCTCGTCTCCAGCGTCCCATGGCCGGTCTTCGTTGTCAGCCTGCTGATCTGCACTGCTGTTGTTGCTACCTGTGAGTAGGAAAATTGGGTTGAGAATTGCGAGAGGGAGAGAGAGGAAATGAGAGTGCGACGGCAGGTCTTGGTTGTCTTCCTGCTGATCCGCACTGGTGCCAGCATCCGAGCAGAGGGAGAGCAGAGGGACAGCAGAGGGAGAGCAGAGGGAGAGCAGAGGGAGCGAGGGGGGATGAGTGCACAGTGAAAGAGCTTGAGAGTCCGAGGGCGGGTCTTCGTTGCCATCTTGCTCATCGGCACTGCTACCAGCAGGAGAGGAGAAGAGAGGAGAGGGGAGGAGAGGAGAGGAGAGAGAGGAGAGGGGAGGAGAGGAGAGGAGAGGAGAGGAGAGGAGAGGAGAGGGGAGGAGAGGAGAGGAGAGAGAGGAGAGGAGAGGAGAGGGGAATTGAGAGTACAGGGGCAGTGTTGCCTTCCTGCTGGCCAGTAGTGCTGCTGCCACTACCTGTGGGGCAGACAGGTGAAGCAGAGGGCAAGGGATGGGATCGGAGGAATGGCAGGCGATCTTAGGATGGTGGATCGAGCTCTGTGTGATGTAAAGTCAAAGTCCAGCTTAGAAATTTGCCCATCCCCCCTCCCCCCCCCCCCCCCCAAAACAGGGTTGCCGATGGGCCATCCCATCCCATGCTGTCCGTGCCCAACCCATGCGTTCATTGCTCAAGCCCACCCACCTCTGCGCACACCCCTCCCACCTTTGCTCAAGCCCTCCCACCTTTGCACTTGCTGGAGTCAATCCCCGCGCCCTTCTTCAGCGGCACGCACTGCACCCCGCTCCTGCACTTGCCCAGGCCGGAGGGGCACTGGAAGGAGCGGCAGAACGCCGGGTCCTCATCGCCTGCCGCCTCTAGAGACGACCCCGCCGCAACCTTGTCACTGGACGACCCTGCTTGCTGGGTTGCCGTGCTGCTGCTGGCACCGCCAGGGTCGATGCAGTCAGTGGTGCTGTCGCACCAGCGGTGCTCCGCTAAGCACTGCCACCCGTTGCTGCACCTGCTGTAGCCCTCTGGGCAGTCCAACGCTGCACACATGGCTTGATCCTCGTCATCGAACGGCTTCTCTGCATCAGATGGTGATGATGATGGGCCTGCTGCTGCTGCTGCTGCTGCTGCTGCTGCTGCTGCTGCTGCTGCTGCTGCTGCTGCTGATTGTGAACCGGAGGAGGCAGAGGAGGAGTTTGAATCGGGAAGGCAGTCGCTCACCGCGTCACACCATCGCTCCCGCACCACACATTGCACCCCGTTGCTGCACTTGCGAGCCGACCCCGGACAGCTCCAGTCAGCACACATACTCGGATCCTCGTCCTCCCCAGTCACCACCACTGCACTGCCCTTCCCCCCGATGCTGCTGCTGCTGACCTTCCCTCCCTTTTTAGTCACATTGCCCGTTATAGTCACCGGGCAGTCGATGACGCCGTCGCACCAGCGAGCGGCATCCACGCATTTACTGTTCACTTCGCACCGCATGGTGCCGCCCGGACACACATGTTTCTCACACATGGACGGGTTCTCATCCTCGGTATAAACCACAGACCCCACCACTTTATAAGCTGCTCCGTTATAAGCAGTATCTCCAGTAGAAGCAGTTTGAGCACTGCCTGCAAAACCCGCTGTTCTTGCGGCTGCGGCTGCTGCTACCACCGCTGCCATTGCATCTGCTGCCTCTCTAACCGACATAACTTTTCCGGTTACCAGGTCTACACTCGGGCAGTCGTTCACCGCGTCACACCACAGCTTCTCGCTGAGGCAGACGAACCCGTTCAAACATTTCCGGTAGCCCGGCGGGCAGGTGAAAAAGGCGCAGAAGAGGGGGTGTTCGTCAATTGAGTAGGGGAGCATGAGAGAAGAGGAGGAGGAGGGGGGGAGAGGGTCAGGCTCCAAGGGACAATCGTTGATGCCATCGCAGAGAGCGCCCTTGTGACAGGTGGGAGAGGAGGAGGAGGAGGAGAGGAACGAGGACGGGCAGGGGATGAAGCCTGGCGGGCAGTTTGAGGTATCATTTTGTGCCTCTGAGAGGTCTTCGTTATTGTCACCACTGCCACTGTCACCAGTAGCATCACTTGTCCCGCTCCCTTCGTCCGCTCCCTCCTCCCCTTGCCCCGTCTCCCCCTCCCCTTGCCCCGTCTCCCCCTCCCCTTGCCCCGTCTCCCCCTCCCCTTGCCCCGTCTTCCCCTCCCCTTCCCCATCCTGTGGTGGTGTCTTCCCCTCACACGCCACGTCACTCTCGTCCGACCCGTCAGCGCAGTCCACATGGCCGTCACATGCCATCCACGTGCTGAGGCACGCGCTGCCGTCTGGGCACACCGTCTGCCCGGCCATGCAGAGCGCAGGGCACGTGGAGGCCACGGCCACGCACGTGCCTCCTGATGCCTCGTTGCCGCTGCTGCTGCTGCTGGTGCTGCTGCTTGTGCTGATAACACTACCACTGTTGCTGCTACTTTTGGTGGCAACTGCAGTGCTGCTTGCGGTGCTGCTGCTGCTCCGTGCGCTGATACTCGCTGCTGTCCGCGCGGCCCCGATCCCCGCCCCCCCATCCCCCGCGCTGGTGGTCGCAATCTGCGCGCCGTAGCACCGCCGCTGGCCGCGGGGGCACGGCGGGGGCCCTGTGATGATGGCGAGAGCATCGCCCTGCGCCCATGCCACGCGGAGGGAGGGGGAGAAGGGGGAGGGGGAGAGGGGGGAGAGAAGGAGGAGGAGGAAGACGACAAGGGCGCGGAGGGGATGTGCGAAGAAGCCAAGCGTGGAATGCGGCGGATATCGCGGAGAGAGATCCGCACTGCAGTGTGCATGAGGGCGGTCAGATTGGGGGCGGTCGGACTGGGGGCGGTTGGATTGGGGGAGGTCGCATGGGGGGAGGTCGGTTTGGGGGAGGTAGACTAGGCGGAGGCCAGCGTCTACAGCTGACGAGGAACCGTTGCACCTCCCGTTACAGTCACATCGGAGGGGGTCACTGCACTGAAACCCATCGCACCCACCGCTTTCGCTTGTCCGCGAAAGTTCCCCGCAAGTTGCGTCACACTGGAAACTTGGAGGCAAATTGCGTGGTCGTAGGCAACAGCACGTGGGGTCCCACCGCCCACGGCGAGCTGAATTGCCTTGGCAAGTCAGGCCGCCTTCGCCGGTCCAGCCGTCTTGGCAAGTCAAGCCGTCTTGGCAAATCAAGCCGTCCTGGCAAGTCAAGCCGCCTTGGCAAGTCAAGCCGCCTTGGCAAGTCAAGCGGCCTTGGCAAGTCAAGCGGCCTTGCCACGTCATGCCGTCTTGACAGCGCGAGCAGTGGCAGTCGTCGCCTGCTCTGTCGTCGAGGCGCGAGTCCGCTCGAGCGACCATTGCTAGCGACGTCATTAGGTTCTAAGCTTTCTGCTACTCGTCTATCAACCCTGGCGGAATTGGTCACAGTCGAATCCCCTCGAGCGAGCACTACTTGCCCTCAACCCCGCTGTCACCACGTGTCAATTTGAGTCGCCCAAGCCTCACTTCGCTATAATACAGTCAAGCCCAGTGCAGGTCGAAAGGTGCCGTATCCACGGCTTTCCGTCAACCACTCAGAATTTACTCCCTCGTACACACCTCCCAGTTCCGTGCTAGCTGCTCTCTCGATTGATTTTGGGCTTCAACGCTACATTAACGAAATTAATATTTAATTGGCGAAAGGCATGTATTCTCCAGACGTGTTGGTAACCTGACGTCTGCGACGATACTTCATTCGACGATGGGCGGCACTTCACGAAGTGGACGATGATAACAGGGGTGCAGGCTGGACCAGGGGAGAGACCAGTTGCTGGAACAGACTGTACCGGACCAGAACGCAATGAACCGTCCTGAAGAGTAATCTTGTATGCATTTCGAATGCGACCGCGGTGTCTTGTTTGCACTGCCCTCACATTGCACTGTAGAATGTCGGTGACTGGGTGGTGCTGTATGCGACGCGGTTTTTAGGCCCTGGGGAAGGGCCTGGAAACATTCAAAAGAGACAAGCTCTGTATTCAGAGAGAAATACTGTACAAGACCACGTAACGGCAGGTTCGACTCGCAGGTGTCGTTTCAGCTGCTTCGGTTTGGAGCAGCCAGGTTGCTTCGGTCATCGCGATTAGCGTGATTCGGTGTACCATGTAAGGCGGGCCTTGCTGGAGACAGAAAATTACCGTATTCGTATTTCACAACAAATAAATAAACCATCGCAACATGTGATTGTGTATCCCCCACAAATCGTGAAGAGCAGCTAGTATACACGTCAATTTCAGCGCATCCAACTTCTATTACGGACACCCATTCGTTCGACCCAACTTACTTCTTACCTCCACGTTTCGGCACAATCACCCCCTTATTCTTCAATTTTTGCTTCACTTTATCAGCAGCTACTTTTGCCTTATCAGCCTGCTTCTTCACCCCGCCTGCAACATCTCCTTTACTCCCCTTCCCACTCCCCGCACTATCCCCACCTCCTGCACTCCCCTTACCTTTCCCACCACCACCACCACTCCCCTTCCCACCGGCCTTCCCACCACTGCTTCCGCCGCCCTTTTCCCCGCCTTTCCCTTTCTTCCCCGCATCTTTTGGACCTCCCTTAGACACCTGGGTGATGGTGGCTCCACTGACAGGCAGCCCGGTGGTGGGATCTGCATAATCGCCATCGCACAGCAGATAGGGGCAAATAACAATTACGAGCGGTTCTTCTTGATGTGAGTCGAGAAGAGAAAGCAGGGCAATGATCTGGGAGATAAGTGATGAGAATAAGGGCTCACCTAAAGGGTTGTTGAAGCTGCTGCACGTGGTCGGATCCTCGTCCTCCGTATAAGTCACCTCGGGGTTCGTCACAGGGCAGTGGTTCTTGCCATCACACATGGCGCCGGGGCGGCAGATTAGCGGCGACGAGGGGCACTTGATGCTGCCACGTGGACACCTGTAATTGGCGCAGAACTCTGGGTCCTCCTCGGACCCGCTCTTGCAGTCCTTGACTCCGTCGCAGAACTGCCGGGGGGCGATGCACTGGGTGTCATTGGGACAGGTGGCCTGCACACAGATGAAGATGAGTAGGAAGACAGGGGCAGAGAGAGAGAGAGAGAGAGAGAGAGAGAGAGAGAGAGAGAGAGAGAGAGAGAGAGAGAGAGAGAGAGAGAGAGAGAGAGAGAGAGAGAGAGAGAGGGTCAGATGGAGTGCATGCAGCCTGGTCTTGGCTGGAATTTGTCCTTCCTTGACTCCGGTGCAGAGCTACCTTGCAGCGAGGCACTGGGTGTCACTGGGGCAGGCGGGCTGGCAAGGAGGGTGGAGTCGGGGGGAGGATGAGCATCAAGTCGCTCCTACCCGCCTTTCGCCTCGCACCCATCAAGCTTTGTCACTAGATTCAAGATTCAAGTTCACCAGGCCATGCAACAGGCACCCGCTGATCAAGCTCCTCGTCGCACCCGTCCTGCAGTCCACCAGCCCGTCGCACACCGCCACTCTCTCTATCCACTCATCGTCCTCCACTCACCAGGCCGTTCAACATGCGTCCACTCACCAGCCCTGCGACAAACAGCCACTAACAAGCTCGCAGTTATCCCCCGCCTCGTCCGACCCATCGTTGCAATCCGCCTGTGCGGCCAGACGCAAGCCCCTCCGCACTTCATTGGTACAAGAGGCGTCCACTCACCAGGCCCTGCTGCAGGCACCCGCTGATGAGCTCGCAGTTGTCGCCCGCCTCGTCCGACCCATCGTTGCAATCCTCCTGCCCGTCGCACACCGCTGCGTCCGGCACGCACCCGCTGCTGTCCAGACACCTGAACTGGCCCGCCGTGCACTGCAGGGAGAGCGTGCACAGCATGCCGATCTGAAAAAGGCGGGGAGGGAGGAAAGAAGGGCAAAAGCGAACGAGTGCGAGTGAGGCAGGGAGGTCCGCACCCGCTGCTGTCGAGGCGTGTGAACTGGCCCGCCGTGCACTGCAGGGAGAGTGCGCACGGCATGCCGATCTGCGATGGGGGGAAGGGCGGGGGAGAGACGCGAGATAGTGAGGAGAGAGAGAGGGGAAGTGAGGGAGGCGCGCACCCGCTGCTGTCGAGGCACCTGAACTGGCCCGCAGTGCACTGCACTGCAGGGAGAGCGCGCAGCAGAGCGCGCAACAGAGCGTGCCGATGTGCGGAGGGGGAACGGAGAAAAGAAGAGTAGAGGGGGGTTGGGGTTGGGGGGAGGGCAGCACGTGGAGTTGGGGAGGAAAGGGGGGAGGATTGTATGAGACAAGTCCGGACGGGAACAGGGCAGCGGTTTCTCTCTCTGTCGCGGCCAAGTGTAGGTGACTCCGCCGCGCAGTCATCCGAACGATTCATTCCGCAGGTGTGGCGGGGCGCGCCCCCGAGCGGAAGTTGTTGGCCACACCCCCCCTTCCTGCGCTGCACTCAAACACAATACAAATGAATCGACACGCTGCATCATCATCAACCGCGCAACGAGAGTCGAGGCCTTGTGCACACCTCACTCTAGCGACGGTAACGAATCCGCACCTTAACGCACGCGCCGTTGCTGCACAGCTTCTGCCCCTTGGCGCAGGAGGCCACAGGCGGGGGGGTGTCCGGGTCCGCCGCTTCCCCCTCCCCCTCCGCGCACGTCTCCCCCTCGGGGCACTCCGGCGGAGGAGTGTAACTTCCGCTGACGACGTCACCGCCGTCGCTGCCGCCGGCTGCGACGGCGCCGGTTCTGCCGCCGGTGCTGGCGGTGGTGCCGGTGACGCCGGTGGGTTTGGTAGAAGTCGCGGCCTGCGGGGGGTTTAAAACGGGGATGGGAAGGACAGGCATGGCATGGGATATCTTAAGCGCTGCTGCTGGTGATGCTGCTGCCGATGATGGTGCGGTGGTTTGCCGGTGATGCCGGTGGGTGTGGTACAAGTCGCGGCGGAAACGGTGGCCTGCGAGGGGTGGAACGGGGGTCGGAAGGACAGGCACGGGTTATCTTAAGCGCTGCTGCCGGTGATGCCGGTGGTGCCGGTGGCTTTGGTAGAAGTCGCGGGACAGGCATGGGATATCTTAAGCGCTGCTGCTGCTGCTGCGCTACAGCCGCCAGTTGCGCTACAGCCGCCAGTTGCGCTACAGCCGCCAGTTGCGCTACAGCCGCCAGTTGCGGTGGTACGTGGGGATGTTCGCGAACGCGGCGAGGTTTGAAGTACCCTTGTAACCTTGTACACTTGCCCCTTGCTACGCAGCTCATACGACGTGCGGCCTTTCGCTGTTACTTCCGAAAGCGAGGCGTTCCCCCGAAAGAAGAAGAAAATTAAAATAAAACAAACTAACGGTTGCGATAACAGGTAGAACGTTTCCGAGAGATGCCTGAAGCCTATACGGCGACTGTTGAGGGTAGGCTCCGAGAGTGAATACACTCAAAACACGCCTGGAGCTTCGGCGTTACCTCGGCGAGCGAAAGGGCCAGCGAAGCAAGGAGCAGAGCGGGGAGCAACCAGAGAGGCAGAGCGAAAGAGGGTATGGATGCTTGGAGGCGACTCGACGTTACCTCGGCGAGCGAAAGGGCCAGCGCAGCGAGGAGCAACCAGACTAGTGGAGTTAATCTCGTCTGTCGCATCCCCGTGCCTCGAGCCGCCTGCTGGCGCTGTCCCCGTAAGAGAAGCATTTCGACGTCCGCTTCTTGCTCCCTGAACTCAACCGCACTAAGACGTTTTCCTTTTAACGTTGTGACTTTTGAATCGACTCAAAAGTCGTCCGTTTCTTGCTCCCAGAACTCAAGTCTGCCTTCAAAAGAGCCGCACTAAGACGGTTTGATTTCCTCGAGCACACCTGCTCGTTCTTGGCTCCCAATGCAGCTCTAACCTTGAATTCAACGAGGATTCCTCTCAAGTCGGACCCTTTAGCAGCGTCTGCAAGAAAACTATGCCAGAGTTGGAGGTCTACTACGAGTTATGCACTGTGATTGTGTTGTGGCTGGGGTGAACAGAACACGGCGTTTGGCGGAATTCTGTGGGCCAGGTGGGAGGGGAAATGCTGTTGTTGAGAGAGAAAGAGAGAGAGCCAGGTTTGGTTGGGCTCGGGGGTATAGGAGGAGCTGGGTCGGTTTGGGAGATACGGGACACTGACATACACAACTACACAGCACTTGAAGGCTTTGGGATCGGTGGTGTGGTTTTTTGTTTGGTGAATGAGAGTTAGGTCGCTGTGGTGTGATCCCTTTCAAGTACCACACAAACGCGACCGATAAGAGCAGGCAGCTCTTGAAACTGCACTACGAAGAGCGCATCCACCAGCAGCTCATTGAACCATATAGCGTTTCGTAGACGCATTTTTTATGACACGTTTCGACGATTTACCCTCTGAGACCACTGAACTGAACTAGATGCTATGGGCATGAAAATGAGTGTGTTGCACTCCTTGAATTTCGATATTGACACAAACACCCACAAGGTATGAGAAAACACAGAGAACAGGAAATTTGTTGCCAAATGGCTCAGGTGGTTACCCAGCTTGTCTTTGTTGGCTGCTGGCACCACATCAGAAGAGATCGCTGCGCGTGGCACTGTATGTTCCCGAACCGCACTGTCGCAAATGCTGGCGTGGTAGGACCAATGGCACCTGCCAGGGATGTTGTTGTTACTGTCCCACGATCGTCTAGCATCAGGCTGATAATGGCGGTTCCAGGGAATATCCTCTCTACTGCATGCTGCATTTGGAGCCTAAGAACCTGTCCCTCACAAAGCACACTCTAAAAAAGGTTTGAAAACAACGCCGTAATCAACACATGATTGTAATCAACAGTAAAAGGAGGCGCAGGGAAAATGAAGTTTTCATGTTTATGTCGAGTACAGCGGAAACTGGAACACCTCAGCACTCCCCGACGCTGACGCAGCAACACGTCCACGCTAGTAGCCCATCCGCTGCAGCCGTTCTCCCCGCCGCTCCGCTGCTGACCCAACAGTGATGATAACGCAGGCGTTTTTGCTCAATACCCTACCCAAACACTCTAGATTGCAAATTAAACCATCTGAACCAAACAGCACCTCACCCAACCAGAAAGAGACGTACACTTGTGACACGCCCAAATTCCCTTCCCTTTTCGTGCCCCTTCTGTCACTGCATGCTGGTCACTCTAGCGAACTCCCAATATCGCACGCCCAGCAACAATTGACCTGACATCTGACCAGACCAGACGACCACCTGTAGCGCCTTCACGACCAGCCCGTGTGCCCATCCCTTTGGTTGTCACATACGTCCGCCGTCCGACCATTTTCCCCCATCGCGACCAGCCCTCGCGCTTCCCTGCGGCATCCGCTGCTTGCCGCGCTGCTCCCCGCCGTCCCTCCCGCGGACTGCACCTTCCGCACGCCCCGCGTCTTCCGCTTCCTCGTGGCCGCTCCATCTAGCAACCGCTTTTCCCGCCGGTCGCTTTCGACCCCGCTTCCTCCACTCATCGCCCTACACGTGGCAGCGTCATCGCGTCGCCCTCTCCGCATCGTAGGCGTGTTACCTCAGAGCACCTCGATTTTCAGTCAGCTCAGTACACGCGACTTGTCTTCTCACCAAGCCACGTCGACGGTCGGTTAGCTGTCTGGTTGACCAGGTCTGCCGGTGACCGTCATCTCTGCCGGCGACCGTCAGTGAGCATGAGGGCGCTGGTAGCAGTGAAGCGAGTGATTGACTATGCCGCCAAGATCCGAGTCAAGGCGGACGGGGTGAGCTTGTAGCGAGGGATGCGATGTGTGATTATAACGGGGATGGGATAATAAGAGTGTGATTGTAGCGTGGTTGGGACAATACATCCCACGTGAGGTGTGAGTGACTATAGCGCGGGTGAGCTTTACAGACCGTGTGGCTGTGGTGGTGGCAAATAAAATCATGGTGTAAATCAAACTGAAACGCAGGGTAGGTTGAACCCATTTCTTCCCCTCCTTGCTGCACTCCCCCCCCTCTCCTCCCCTTAACCCTCCCCCCCTCTCCTCCCCTTAACCCTCCCCCCCTCTCCTCCCCTTAACCTTCCCCCCCCCTCTCCTCCCCTTAACCCTCCCCCCCTCTCCTCCCCTTAACCCTCCCCCCCCTCTCCTCCCCTTAACCCTCCCCCCCTCTCCTCCCCTTAACCCTCCCCCCCTCTCCTCCCCTTAACCCTCCCCCCCTCTCCTCCCCTTAACCTTCCCCCCCCCTCTCCTCCCCTTAACCCTCCCCCCCTCTCCTCCCCTTAACCCTCCCCCCCTCTCCTCCCCTTAACCCTCCCCCCCTCTCCTCCCCTTAACCCTCCCCCCCTCTCCTCCCCTTAGCCCTCCCCCCCCGCTCCGCCTTCCTCTGAAGGAGAGTGTGAAGATGTTGATGAATCCCTTCTGTGAGATGGCAGAAGAGGATGCTTTCAGGCTGCGCTTATCCCTACTCTTTCCCTTACCCTTACTTCTCCTCTTACCCCGCTCCCCTCCCCCGTAATCAGTCCGGAGTGGAGAAGGCGAGTGTGAAGATGTCGATGAACCCCTTCTGCGAGATAGCGGTGGAGGAGGCCATCCGGCTGAAAGAGAAGGGCGCCATCAAAGAGGTTGTGGCTGTCAGCCTGGGCGTGCAGCAGTGCCAAGACACCCTTAGGTAAGCGTCGGGACTGGAGTATGTCTTGGCTTTAAGTCAATCAGGTGCTGGTGAAGGTGCCACGTCAATCAGGTGCTGGTGAAGGTGCCACCTCTTTTCCCGCCAACCCCTGATTCTTTCCCTTGTCCTTTTTTTTTCCACCTGATCGCTTTCCTCCTCAGAACGGCCCTGGCAATGGGGGCGGACAGGGCGGTACTGGTGAAGGTGGAGCCTGCACAGGAGGAGGCACTGGAGCCGTTGATCGTGGCGAAGCTGCTCAAGGGGATTGCAGTGAAGGAAACAGCCGACCTGGTGTTCCTTGGCAAGCAGGTATGTGTATGAATGAGGAAGCAGGTTAGGCAGTGCTGGTACTGGTAGTACAAGCGGTGCACAGGTGGAGGCATGGGAGCCGCTGGTCGTGGCTGAGCCGCTCAAGGGAAATTGCAGGGAACAGCCGACCTGGTGTTCCTTGGCAAGCAGGTAGGTACTGCCGAGTTTCTTGGGAAGCTGGTGAGTAAGGTGCTCAAGGGGCGAGTTAAGGGATAGCATTGGCAACAGCCGACCTGGTGTTCCTTGGCAAGCAGGTACGCTTGGAAGAGGATCTCATAGCAGCAGTCCAGCTCAGGGGGTGAGTAAGCTGTTGCACAGGAGGAGTTGTGCTTTTGAGACGTCTCAAAACGAAATCACTGTCACAAGTCTTGAGGGAGGTTCTCATAGTAGAGGTGCTGCCTCATAGTAGAGGTGCTGCCTCATAGTAGAGGTGCTGCCTCATAGTAGAGGTGCTGCCTCATAGTAGAGGTGCTGCCTCATAGTAGAGGTGCTGCCTCATAGTAGAGGTGCTGCCTCATAGTAGAGGTGCTGCCTCATAGTAGAGGTGCTGCCTCATAGTAGAGGTGCTGCCTCATAGTAGAGGTGCTGCCTCATAGTAGAGGTGCTGCCTCATAGTAGAGGTGCTGCCTCATAGTAGAGGTGCTGCCCAATGGGTGAGTGAGTGCGGTGCACAGGAGGAGGCACTGGGACCACTGATAGTGGCGAGGCTGTTAAAGGGGACTGCAATAAAGGGGATTGAAATAAAGGAGACGGCCGATCTGGTGCTCCTTGGGATGCACGCACGAGCACTAATGGTGATAGTGTTAAGGGAAAGGGGATCGCCAAGCTGCTCAAGGGGTTCACGGTTTACCTCAAAAGAGATGGCTGATTTGGTGCTCCTTGGGATGCAGGTACTGTTATGTACTCTTGCTGGTGCCACAGAAACACGTGCTAACACTAGTTAGTGTACTGTTATTTCGTCATTTCTCTTGAAGTTCCGTTCCGTCCCCTTTGGGCCTTCGCTCCCCTTTAGCACTCATTTCCTCACCTCCCACCTTCTCCCACCTTCTCCCACCTTCTCCCACCTCCTCCCACCTTCTCCCCTCCCAGGCGATCGACGACGACTGCAACCAGACGGGTCAAATGCTCGCTGCGCTGCTGGACTGGCCGCAGGCCACCTTCGCGTCCAAGGTGTGCGGGGGTCGCTGTTTTGCCCCTGCATTGCATTCAGTTGCATTCAGTTGCATTCAGTTGCATTGCATTCAGTTGCATTCAGTTGCATTCAGTTGCATTCATTTGTCAACACCTTCATCAGTGCAAACATGTGTTGTCGCTGCATTGCATTGCATTGCATTGCATTGCATTGCCGGGGTCCAATCAGTTGACTTGTTTCACTGCAATACCTGGGTGTTCCGGGCTTGATTGGACGACGGTTTTCTGGGTCCTTTTCTTTCTGTTTGGTCTGCCTGGCTTTTCTGCTGGACTGGCCGCAAGCCACCTTTGCCTCCAAGGTGCACAGCTGGCACTCAGAGCTCGCTGGGACTGACTGGGTTGACTGGGTGGGTTGACTGGGTGGGTTGACTGGGTGGGTTGACTGGGTGGGTTGACTGGGTTGGCTGGGTGGGTTGACTGGGTTGGCTGGGTGGGTTGACTGGGTTGGCTGAGTGGGTTGACTTGACTGGGTTGGCTGGGTGGGTTGACTGGGTTGGCTGGGTGGGTTGACTGGGTTGGCTGGGTGGGTTGACTGGGTTGACTGGGTTGACTGGGTGGGTTGACTGCGTTGGCTGAATGGGTTGAAAGCTCGACTGGCCTCAAGCCACCTTTGCCTCCAAGAGTACATGGTCACACAGTGATGGCAGTGTCGATTGGGTTTACTTGGTTGACTCGGTTGGCTGCGTTGACTTGGTTGACTGCTTTCAGTGAGGGTGGATGCGAGACAGCAGGGACTGCCAACGCAAAACTGCATTCGACATGTCCAACTCAAGACACGGAATTGGCTACAGAGGAGTCTTTTTTTTTTAGAAGACGCCGAATTCTAAAAATGACTCCCCTGCTGTCCCAATTCGGCATGTCGAGCCCCTTGTGCTCGAGTCCCAATGATCGAGGGATTCGAGTCAAGACGCCGAATTGTTGCCTCGTGCTTCAACATGTCCAAACTCAACCTTTCCCCCCTTCCTCACCCTCCCCCCCTTTCCTCACCACCCCCCACCTTTCCTCACCCTCCCCCCTTCCCCCCCTTCCTCACCTTCACCTTCGTACCCCCCCCCCCCGCCCACCCCCCCCCCCCTGACAGGTAGTCCTGGACGCCGCGGCAAGTTTTGACTTCTGCCTCAAAACGAGACTTCTTACCCCCCCGCCCGCCCCCCCCCCCCTTACAGGTAGTCCTGGACGCCGCGGCAAAGAGCGCTCTGGTGACTCGGGAGGTTGACGATGGGCTCGAGACAGTCAGCATCAAGCTGCCAGCTGTCATCACGTGAGTGGTGCAATGCTGAATCCTGGAAGTGATTCCTGTAAAAAAATCAATGCCCCTGAGTGCTGGAATATTTATGGTGTTGGGACTATTTCCCTGTAATGCTGGACTGTTTCGAAGTCCCCTGCACATTCACGCTACCCCCCTGCTCACCCTATCTATCTGTCTCCACGTATTCCTGCCCCTCCCCCCCTCCCTCCCCCCCTCCCTCCCTCCCTCCCTCCCTCCCTCCCTCCCTCCCTCCCTCCCTCCCTCCCTCCCTCCCTCCCTCCCTCCCTCTCCCCCCCCTGCCTTCGTGAGCACTAAATCGGCCATGGTGCTTCCCCCCTTCCCCCCCTCTCCACCCGTCTCCTTGCAGCAAGGAGCACCAACCTGCGGCTGAGCTTGCCACGATACGCCACTCTCTCCAGCATCATGGAGGCCACGAAGAAGCCCACAGCAGCGCTTATCTCCGGTCACTCCCCCTTTTCCCCCATCTCTCCTCTTCCCCTCATCCCTCTAGGTACTGTCCTGCGCTTGAACGAGCCACGCTACGCCACGCTCCCCAGCATCATGAAGGCCAAGAAGAAGCCCATCGCCATCCTCTCTCCATCAGATCTCGAGCTAGACCTCACAGACCCGGCCAGCCGCAGGGTGCAGGTGGTGCAGGTGAAGGAGCCTCCACTGCGCTTAACTCACCTCTTTCCCCCTTCCCCCATTCCCCCCCCTTCCCCCATTCCCCCCCTTCCCCCCCTTCCTCCCTTCTTTTACCCCTCGCCCCTGACCCCTTCCCCTCAGTACCGACCTGCGCTTGAACGAGCCACGCTACGCCACTCTCCCCAACATCATGAAGGCCAAGAAGAAGCCCATAGCAGTGCTTTCGCCATCAGATCTCGGCCTTGACCTCGCAGACCCGGCCAGCCGCAGGGTGCAGGTGGTGCAGGTGAAGGAGCCGCCTCAGCGGGTGGGGGGGCGCATTCTGCAGAGTGTGGACGAGCTGCTGGACAAGCTCAAGAACGAGGCCAAGGTCTTGTAACGAGGACAAGGCTTACAGCAAAGGGATGGACAGGGTGGGTGGTGCATGCCGGCTTCGTTGATCAACCTCTTAAGGTTCAGATGGCATACAATGCCTTTGGTGGTAGAAATTAATGATGAAGCAAGAGATCATTCTATAACATAAGACATGCACAAGTGGCGAAAAATATACTAGCACCTCTAGCATGCACAGAACCTAAACTGGCCTCTAATGCTGCCCATGCACATGCAGCACGTCCAATTCCAAGAGAGCTGTGTTAAAATTATATAAGTTATATATCATTGATAGGCTTGGTAGTTGTTATTGAACCTTATTGTAGAGGGTACAATCCCCTCCTTGTACCCCTCTCTCTTCCTAATCGATACTCTTCTCTCTCGTCAATCTTCCTAGCTAAACCTCGGCCGCCATTTCATGGCGGCCTTCTTCTTTCTTGCTAGATCACTTCATAACAAGCTGAGCGTCATTTAGAACACCAAATAGGTGTCAAACATAACTTAGTTTGTTACTGTTGACTATACAGGTTTGTGTCTTAGAGGGTACAACACACTAGCCTATATCGCCTTGTACCCTCCTATTCTAGTCATTATTCCATTCTATTATGGTATCATGAGTAGGTTAGGTCCCTCCCGCCCACCAGCGCTTCCGCCCTAGGTCCTAGCCACCTCGCCTACCCCGTCCCCTAGCGGCCCCGTCCCGTAGCGGCCCCGCGGCCCCGTCGACCAGGTGTCCCGCGGCCTCGTCCCCTAGCGGCCGCTCGGCCCCATCGACCAGCGGCCCCGCGGCCCCGTCCCCTAGCGGCCACGTGGCCCTGTCCCCTAGCAGGCCCTGCGGCCCGTCCCCTAGCGGCCTCGCAACCCCGTCCTGTAGCGGCCCCTTGGCCCCGTCGACCAGCGGTCCCGCGGCCTCGTCCCCTAGCGGCCCCTCGGCCCCGTCGACCAGCGGCCCCGCGGCCCCGTCCCTAGTGGCCCCGCGGCCCTGTCCCTTAGCGGGCCCCGCGGCCCCGTCCCCTAGCAGCCCCGCGGCCCCGTCCCGTAGCGGCCCCTCAGCCCCGTCGACCAGCGGCCCCGCGGCCCCGTCCCCTAGCGGCCCCTTGGCCCCGTCGACCAACGGCCCCGCGGCCCCGTCCCCTAGCGGCCCCGCGGCCCCGTCCCCTAACGGCCCCGCGTCCCTGTCCCTCAGCGGCCCCGCAGCCCCGTCCCCTAGCGGCCCCGCGGCCCCGTCCCTTAGCGGTCCCGCGGCCCCGTCCCCTAGCGGCCCCTCCGCCCCGTCTCCGGCCCCACGCCCGTCCGTTCGCCGGCCCGCGCCCGCCTCGATCCCGGCCCCGCGCCCTTCTCTGCGCCAAGCCCTGACGCCTGCCTGCACTGCCCTGCACCGCACTATACCGTACTGCACCCCTCTGCACCGTACTGTATTGCACTGCACCCCTTTGTACCGTACGGCACTGCACTGCACCGCTTTGTACTGCAACTGCCTCGCTCCTGATGGCGGACTCTGTGCTGCGATTTGACGCGGAGGGTCAGCCGATCGAGTTCGACACGTGGCTCGTCGACCTCTGCCGTCACCTCACAGGTCAGCGGCAGGACGGCCACTCCTTGGCCCTCCACCTTGATGGTGCGCTCCCTGTCCTGACCCCCCCGCTCCGCTGCCCGCTGACCCCACGTCTGGTGATCGAGAGTCCGCTGCTGCTGCTGCCCTTGCCCGCTCGGTCTGGTTGTCGCATAACGCTGTTGCACAGCTTGCCATTAGTCATGCGCTTCCCCTGTCGGAGCGTCCCCGCTTTAGGTCTATCAGGATTGCACAGGAGTTCCTCGATGCTGTCATTACTCGCTATTCCACCCCGTCCTCTGCCTCCGTAGGCCGCTTGATCTTAACCCTGCTTTTCCCTGATCTCGCGTCTTTCCCCACTGTCGCTGACCTAGCCGCCCACTTGCGCACGCTAGACTCGACCTGGCGCTCTTCCTGCACTGAGGCCCAGCTACGTGTGTTTCAGCCCCCTCTCCCGCATGCCCTCTACCTGCTTGCCACCTGTCTCCCTGACCGCCTTGCCACTGCCCGCGATCACTTTCTTAGTGCCCAACCCGCAGACCTCACCCTCATTGACTTTGTTGACACCCTATCTGCCATAGAGATCCGCCAGCGCTCTATCGCTCAGTCCAGCGGTACGGTGCCGGTCTCTATCTTTCAGGGCTGTGCGCCCACCCAATGCACTTTCTCTGACGGCTCTGCTGCAGTGGCTGAGACTGCCGTTGCAGTACAGGCCCGTCCTGGAAAGGGCCGCCGCCCCAAGGCTGGGCATGGTGGTGGGGGTGGTTGGGGTGGAGGAGGTGGTGGAGCCGGGTCGCCCGCTGGGGGTGCTGACGAGGGCCCTGGGCCTAGCACCGCCGAGCAGCAGCAGGTTCCCTCGCTCGACCAGCAGCCGCCACAGTAGCAGCCGCAGCAGCAGCAGCAGCAGCAGCAGCCGCTGAGGCGGGTTGGTTGTCTCCCGCCTGGGTGGCCCGGCGCTGGAGGTGGTGGCAGTTGCGGCGGTCGTGCGCGCGGCGTGACGCCAGGTGGTGGTGCGGGCGACGGGCACTGCCAGTACCGGTCCTCACCGTGGCCTCGTGTGCGGTAAGACCAGTCACACCACCACTTGCTGTTTCAGTCGCCTTGACGACCTGTTTCGTCTTCGCTTCGGCCCGGCGCCCGACCTCCTTGATTGGCTCAGCTTACTTCGTAGGAGTGTTCAGGTCTTTGATATGGACACGAATGAGATTAGCTCTGCGCTGTATGTTCTATATGTCGATGACTCTAGTGTGATTGGTTCCGTTTACCCCGTCTTGCCTTATGTAGGAGTGCCTAGCTTAGACTCCCCTGCTGCGTCAGGCGTAGGATCTCCTGTGTTGTTTAGTCTAGGCTCCTCCGTCGCTTTCTCGACCCCTCCCGCCTCTGCTGCGCTTTCCTTCACCCTGGACTCTGGTGCTTCCCGGTGCTTCTTCCGGGACTCCACTACTCTCACGCCGCTTGCCGCTCCCGCCGCAGTTTCCCTGGCTGACCCTTCCTCATGCCCTGCCATAGCTCGTAGCTCCACTACCCTTCCCTTTCCAGCGGCTCCTTCGGGCTCGCTTACAGGCCTGCACATTTCCTCGTTCTCTAGGAACCTAGTTGGTGTCGGTTGCCTCCAGGACCTTGGCGTCACCACTACGTTCCCTGGTCACGAGCGGTACGCTGTCTGTACCGAGGCCGCCACTGGTGCTCCCCTAACCACGTTCCCCCGGAACCCGGTGTCCGGCCTGTTCACGCTGGCCACCGCGCCCCCCCCCGGTTGGGGCGTCTCCCCAGGTGCCCGTGTCTCCTCAAATAGCTGCGGCTTGCTCGTGTCGGTCCCTTACTCACCCGACACTCCTGTGGCACCACCGTCTAGGTCACCCTGCCCTCCCTCGTCTTCGTCACATGTCGCAGCACGGTCTTGTCTTAGGTCTTCCTGGGTCGTTCCTCGAGCTCCCCTCCTCATCCGCGCCGCCGTGCACCCCCTGCGTCGAGGGCCGGCTCCGTCGTGCCCCTCACTCCTCCTCGTTCCCCCCCACCACCGCACCGCTGCAGACCTTGCACATGGACGTCTGCGGCCTTGCCCCCGTCCATGGGCCGCGCCGTGAGCGTTACTTCCTCGTCCTTGTTGACGACTACACTCGTTACACCACCGTGTTTCCCTTGGAATGGAAGGCCGACGTGCCTGACGTTCTTATCCCGTGGCTTGTCTCTGCGCATGTGCACCGCATTCTCCCTGTGTTGCGTCTCCACTCTGACCGCGGTGGCGAGTTTGCCTCAGGTTGCCTTGGTCGTTCTGTCATGCGGAGGGCATCACCCAGACGTTCACCTTGCCGGACTCCCCGCAGCAGAATGGGGTCGCTGAGCGACGCATCGGTTTGGTCATGGAGGTGGCTCGTACCTCCATGATCCATGCCATTGCACCTCATTTTCTGTGGTCGTTCGCCGTTCGCTACGCCGCTCACCAGCTTAACCTGTGGCGGCACCCTCAGCGACCGCACGTTTCGCCGACCCTCCTCTGGACTAGGTCTCCTGGTGACGCGTCTGCGTTCCACGTCTGGGGCTGCATTGCCCACGTTCGTGCCTCTGGCACGGACAAGCTCAATGCCCGCACACTCCCCTTTGTCTTCCTAGGTTTCCCTTTCGACTCATCTGACTGGCACTTCTACCACCCCTCGTCCCACTGTTTCTTTCACTCTCGCGACGTCACCTTTGACGAGTCCGTCTGCTTCTACCATCGCTTTCCCCACCGTAGTCCCCTGGTTACCCCCCCCCTATTCCTTGTCCCTCCTCCCCTTGTTGCCCCTACCCCCCCTCCTCCCCGCCCTGCCCTGTCTGGTGTGTCTCACGTTACCCCCCTCCCGTCGGTTGTCCCGGTTGAGGAGTCTGCTGACTCTGGTGGCCCTTCGTCGCAGCCGCACCCGCCGCCGCAGCTGCAGTCGTCATTGCCGCCGCAGCTACAGTCGTCGTCGCCTCTGCTGCCGCAGCCGCCACCGTTGTTGCCGCCGCGGCAGCAGTTCGTGCCTTCTGGGGGTGCTGGCGTTGAGGAGGGTGCTAGTCCTGGGGCTCCTGTCGTGGCTTGTCCCGGCGGGCCTGGGGGTGGTGCCGATGCGGAGGGAGCTTCTGGTTCTGGGGGTGTTTCGTCTGGGGGTGCCGGAGTGGAGTGTTCCGGAGGTAGCTGTGGAGCAGCTGGCGGTCCAGGTGTCAGCGTCGTGCAACCGCCGCAGCAGCAGTCGCCTCCGGTGCCCGCCCTTCGCCTGCTCGGCCTTCCCTCCCTTGACCGCGCGTCTCCCCCTCTTCTACCATCTCCTCCACTTCCTGTTTTCGGCCTTGTGTTCCCTTCTCAGGACTCGCCTCCGGCTCGCTTTCCCCCTCGTTCCCCTCCTGTTACTCCTCCTCTGTCTCCTGACCCGACGCCTCCGTCTCACGTCTGGTCTCGCCTTCCCTCTCGGGCTCATCCTGTCTCTCCTGTTCCTTGTTCTCACCCTATGTTGCTTTGTTCCCACGTGTCTCGTCCTCCCCTCCTGCCGTTGCCTCCTCCGTCCTCTCTTGTCGTCGCACCTCCCCCTCTGTCTGACTACCGTCCACTTGTTCCTCGGGTCCTTGCCTCCCTCGTTATCGATCCGTCTATTCCTGTTTCGCGTCTTGATGTTCTTGTGGCTGCTGTCGCTGACTTCGCCTCCTTGACTACGCCACCGCTCTGATCTCCGACCCTGCCTGTCCTCCGTCCGTCGGGGGTGCTCCTGCCCTCGGCAGTGACGTCTTGGAGGACTGGCAGTACGAGCTTGCTTTCCTGTCTGAGGCTGATCCCCATCTTTGCTCCATGCTGCTAGTCCCTGAGGATGACCCAGACGCTTTCGACATCCCGACCCCTCGCATCTACGCTGAGGCCACCTCGGGACCCTGGGCCTCTCAGTGGATAGCTGCCATGGAGCAGGAGATGGCATCTTGGAGATCCACCGGCATCTTCGTCGACGCAGTTCCACCACCTGGGGTGAACGTAGTCGATGGCCGCTGGCTCTTCAAGGTGAAGCGACCCCCTAGAGAGCCGCCTGCGTTCAAGGCACGCTACAGTACGTGGCCTGAGGGGGTGGACTTCTTTCAGACCTTCGCGCCGACCCCGAAGATGACTACTTTTCGAGCTCTGCGATACGTAGCAGCACAGCGCGACTACGAGTTACACTCCCTCGACTTCTCCACAGCTTTTCTTCAGGGCAGCCTACACGAGCAGGTCTACTTGCGTCGCCCGCAGGGCTTTACTAGTACCTTCCCCCCTAGGACCTAGTGGCTCCTGCGGCGCCCAGTCTACGGCCTGCGACAGGCACCCCGTGAGTGGCACGACACGCTGCGTGCTACTCTAGCTGACCTGCATTTCTTCCCGTCCTCTGCCGACCCCTGGCTCTTCTTTCGTGCTGGCCAGACCCCGTTCTACATCCTTGTTTATATAGACGACCCGATTTTTGCTACTGCAGACAGGGACGCGCTGGCCCTTGTGAAGGCAGAGCTACTGAAGAGATACACATGCACTGACCTAGGAGAGCTGCGCCACTACCTTGGCCTACAGATCTCCAGGGACAAAGCAGCGCGCACTATCACTCTCTCACAATCACACTTGGTGCGCCAGATCCTTCAGCGGTTCGGTCTTCAATTTTCCTCTGCACAGCCCACACCTCTGCCGGTGGGCCACAGACTCTCAGCTCCTGTTTCTGAGGAGTCAGCAGAGCCCAGTGGTCCGTACGCAGAGCTGGTGGGTTGCCTCATGTACGTGATGGCTTGCACTCACCCTGATCTCGCATACCCTCTCAGCATCCTGGCTCGCTTTGTGGCCATAGGCAGACACCGACCACATCACTGGTCTGCCGCTAAGAGGGTTTTGCGTTATCTTGCAAGTACATCGGGCATCGGGTTAGTGCTGGGAGGTCGCAGGCCAGTGGTCCTTACTGGGCACACGAACGCTTCTTGGGCAGACGACGCAGAGACTCTCAGATCCTCTCATGGCTACTTGCTTTAGCCTTGGTTCAGGTGCTGTTTCGTGGAGAGCTACCTGCTCATCGTCTGTTGCCCAGTCCAGCTGCGAGGCTGAGATCTACGCTGGTGCCATGGCGGCACAGGAGCTCCGTTGGCTGACCTTCTTGCTCGCTGACAACAGGGCCATGATCCTCCTGTGTCAGGAGCCCCGACTTGAGGGCAGAGCGAAGCACATCCAGCTGCGGTACTTCCTCCTGCGCGAGCTGCAGCAACGTCGCCAGGCCCGCGTAGTACACTTGGCCTCCGGTGCCAACACAGTTGATATCTTTACGAAGGCGCTTGCGCCTAAAGATCATCAGTCGCACTATGTACAGTTTGGTCTTGTTCCTGTAGCCTCTCATTTGCTAGGGCATTGATTGTGTACAGACCTTTATATATATATATTACCCAGATTGGCCTTGTGGCTTCTCCCAGTGGCTGGACTAGTAGTGCCGCCCTGTTCTTGCTCTTGTCGTTTGCACTCCTTTCGACTGGTCTTTAAACCCTTGCCTCAGAGGCTGGACTAGTAGTGCCGCCCTGAGCTGCTTGTTCTCTTGTTAGGCACTGCCCCTGTATAGTCTAGGGGGTGTGTCAAACATACCTTAGTTTGTTACTGTAGACTATAGAGGTTTGTGTCTTAGAGGGTACAACACACTTGCCTTTATTGCCTTGTACCCTCCTATTCTAGTCATTATTCCATTCTAATAGTAGGTGCCATTGTGTCAATACGTGGCAGCAACTGGTTAATGACACCTGTGATGTGAATGTTAGTTTGTAGAGTGCTTGTAAATACTCTAGCACATGCGGCATGTCCTATTCCAAGAGAGCTAAGCGTCATTCATTCGCCCATGCGGCATGATTTATGAGAGTTTACCGGTATCATTGTTGCTTATGCCCTATGAGAGATAAGCTTTGTTTCTTGTGCCCTACGAGAGGTTGGTGTCATTGCTCATGAAATGAAGACCTCATACCGTACCATACCACTCCCTCGACCAGTCCCTTGCTCTTGCACTATTGAGAGATTGGCATCGTTGTGCATGGCTCTTGAAAAGGGAAGGGTAGCTGCGCATGGCTCTCTAATAGAGATTGGAATCATTGCGCATGAACACCTCGCACTCCAACGATGGAAGTTGCCGCGGCTGTTGAAATTCTCAGTAGAGTCACATTCGACCGCGGCACCATGTCCCCATGCAGCTCCAGCGCCGCCAGCTGCGAGTGGTTCACCCACCCCAGGTGCGTTTCCCGGCCCCCACACTGCTACCGGTATTCCCAATGGGGGGCTTTCCCCTTCTGTTGCTCCCTTCTGCAACCCCCTTCTGCTGGTTGCCCCCATCCGCTACCATACCAAAGAATACTGTGATTGCACATGCACTATGGTAGATCCCTACTAGGCGAGCATCATTGCGCATGTCTCCCTAGGAGAGGTTGGCGTCGTTGCGCATGAACACCTCGTACTCCCCCGACCAGTCCTTCCGATGGGAGTGGATGGGAATTGCAATTGCGCATGGCTCTCTAGGAAAGGTTGGCATCGTTGCGCATGAACACCTCGTACTCGCCCGACCAGTCCTTCTTGTGGTGGAAGTTGCTGCGGCTGTTGAAGAAGTTCAATACAGTCACATTCGACCCCGGCACCATGTCCCCATGCAGCTCCAGCGCCGCCAGTTTCGATTGGTTCACCCACCCCAGGTCTGCCTCCCGGTCCTCGCGGAAAATTTCGCCCTCGCTGCCCTCGATGTCGATCTTGAGGAAGTCGAATCCGGGCAGCCCAAATACTTTGAGGAGGAAGGGCACGGTGACGCCAAGAAGGGAATCCTCCACCACTTGGCCTGGTTCGAGCTGGAGGCAGGGCAGAAATGATGTCCGGAGAGGTAAGGAGAGATGAGGAGACGTAAGGAGAGATGAGGAGAGGTAAGGAGAGATGAGACATGACCCACCTGACAGCCAAAGCCAAACGACCTCTCACATCGCCTATGCTGAGCTTCGACGGGGGAATCAGAGCGGAACAAGCCCAAATCAGAACTCAGTCCCCGGCTCATCTTCCAAGCAGCCAACCGCACTCCCAACTCACATCTCGCGTTTCTTTGACCATGAAGGCCCACTCGGGAGGCAGCTCCGGGTTGCGGTGACCCAGAGTGAGCGACAGCGAAGCCACGCGCGGCCAGAGGGCGGCGTTGACGGCGATGATGTTGGGGAAGGGCTGCGTGTTGAGCTTCAGAGAGCGGAAGTTCCGGGAAGAGGCCTCCACGCTGACGATGGTCGCCTTGGGGTACCTGGTGGGATTGTTAGGAGGTTCAGGGTTCAGGGTTTCAGGTTTGGGTAAGGCAGGTGATTATTGAACTGGAACTTGGTCGAACACGTAGATACTTTTACATGGAAGAGAAAGACACTCACATGGTGGCGAAGAGCGCGGAGGTGAGCCCAATGTTGGCACCGGCATCAAGAATGGAGTCAAACTTACAGATACATATATATACATAAAGATACAAATATACATACATTTATAGGGAAGGGAAGAAGCTCACATGGTGGCAAAGAGCACGGAGGTGAGCCCAATGTTGGCCCCGGCATCAAGAATGGAGTCAAACTGGAAGTATGGCTTGAGGAAGTTCTGCTCGCCCCACTCGTACGCCTGCCGCACCACCAGTGTGTCTGGTAGTAGGAGGGGGTTGTAGGGGGATAGCGGGGGATTAAGGGGGAATAACAATTGGTAGAGGGGGATAGCGTAGAGGACAGGGGCGTGAGGTGGAGCTGGAGGTAGGGCTTGAGGAAGTTCTGCTCGCCCCACTCGTACGCCTGCCGCACTGCCAGTGCGTCTGGTAAGAGGGAGAGCGGGATAGGGGGGGTTGCGGGGGTTGAGGGGGATCGAAGGGGTTGAGGGTTTTGAGGGGGATAGAGGGAGATAGAGGGGGATAGAGGGCGATAGAGGGAGATAGAGGGGGATTGAGGGCGATAGAGGGCGATAGAGGGGGATCGAGGGCGATAGAGGGAGATAGAGGGAGATAGAGGGAGATAGAGGGAGATAGAGGGAGATAGAGGGAGATAGAGGGAGATAGAGGGAGATAGAGGGGGATGAAGTTTCGTTTTCAGGCGCCTCAAATCTGATGGAGTGTACGACAAGGGGATGACGTTGGGAATACAGGAGGATAGAGCATCAGACAGGGCATAGAGTCGAGTGGGATGGGAAGTAGGGCTTAGGAGGTTCTGCTCGCCCACTCATACGCCTGCTGCTTCACCAGTGTATCTCATAGGGCGTAACACGGGGGATTGATCGAGGTCGGGGATACAGTAGGAATGTGAGAACTCTCAAAAGCCTATCACAGCGCATTGAGGTGGGGGATACAGGAAGAAAGAGTACAAGACAAGGGGGAGGTGTCCAAGTTGTGCTCGCCCCACTCGCACACACGCCACACCACCAGCGTGATTGTAAACAGAGGGGGAGGAATGGAGGAATTGAGGCAGGAATCGAGGAAAAGGCAATGCACCACCATTCCTACGCCTGCCACACCACCAGCGTGTTTGTGAGCAAGCTGGTGGTGAAGGGACGGGAAGGGAGGAATCAGCAAAGGAAGGAAGGGCACGCAATGCATCACTCGCCCCACTTGCATGCCTGCCACACCACCAGCATGTCCGGCATCGGCCTCCGGCCCACTTGGAGGCCCCTCCGCCCCACTTGGAGGCCCCTCCGCCCCACTTGTACGCCTGGCCGCCAAGTACAACAGAACGAGCTGAGCACCAGTGGCAGACTGGGCCTCGAGCACCGCCCACTTGTTGGAGAGGGAAAACGAAAACCAGGTCATCACCTACCAGTGGTGTTGCGCCGCAGGTAGTACCCATTAACGCACGGCTGCTCCTTACTACACCCCAGGTTCTCGTGCTGCTTGCACGCCAGCACGCACTCCGCTTCCTCCTCCTCCCTCACCCGCGCATGCCCCTTCTGGAACTCCTCGTCCAGCGCCTTCCAGTCGATCCACGCGCCCCCGTAGAAGTACCGGTTGCACTTCCACCCACAGCAGTGCCGCAGGGAGAGAATGCCCCGCAGCTCGCTCTCTGTGTACGTGCACAGGCGCCGCGGGCCCGTGTGGGACAGGCGCAGGATGCTGTTGGCGTTGGTTGGGATGGCGCTGCTGGTCGTGGTCGTGGTGGTGCTGCCGATGGGGTCGAGATCGGTGTGTGCGGTGTTGGATTTCGCGATGCTCTCCTGAAACTGGAGGGGGGGGGGAGAAGGGGGGGGAAGGGGAATGGGGGCGTATCGAGGGATGAGGAAGGAGAGGAAGGAGGATTATTGAGTAAACTCAAAAAGGGGAAGGGGGGGAGGTGGGCGGGGTAAAAGGGGGTGGTGGTGGTGGGGGGGGGGGGGGGGGGAGGGTCTCAGCAGTGGGCAACGGAGATGGGGGAGATGCGATCAAGGAATGGGGAATCGGGGACAGGGGAAGGGGGAAGGGGGAAGGGGGAAGGGGGAAGGGGGAAGGGGGAAGGGGGAAGGGGGACGTGGGATGAGGCAGTGGAAAGAGGAAAAGGAGGGCGAGAAGGGGACCAAGGTTTGACAGGGTGCGGAATGCGAAGCAGGTCGTAGCGGAATGCTTTGAGTGGGAGTGGGGGAGAATCAGAAGGGGTTTGGGCATTGCCTCGTACCAGACGGCCAATCGCCTTACCAGACGGCCAATCGCCTTACCAGACGGCCAATCGCCTTAACAGACGGCCATTCGCCTTACCAGACGGCCAATCGCCTTACCAGAAGGCCAATCGCCTTACCAGAAGGCCCATCGCCTTACCAAGACGGAAATCTCCTGGAAGCGTCTGTCGAGGAGCTCCTCAAAAGCGGCAGTTCGATTCAAGTCCTCTTGTATCGCGTACGAGCGCGCGGTCATGTTCGCATTGTGCATGGTGAGCACGGCGAGCATCACCACCACCGACACCACCAGCGCCGCCTGCAGCTGCCGAGGCACGTGGCTCGCGGGGTACTTGGAATCAAACACCGGCCGAGCCATTTCGTTGTTCACCCTGGTGAGCAGGTAGTCAAGAAGTAACGGACGGTTTTAAGGAGCACCCGGCTGAGACACACCGAGGTATCTGGGCGTTGGATAGTGGTACCACCACGGAGGAGGTTTTGCGATGCCAATGCTGTGAAGCTCGGAGGCTATTGGCCACACCGCACCTGCTTTCGAGTGGGTGCAGATGATAATCAAAGTGAGATTAATTCTATTCCGTGAACGTGCAATCAATGCTCTTCAGTGAATGGGAGATCGATGCTATCTTTTGAATGAGAGATCTAACCATGCCATAGTCTTTGTGCGTTTGTTGCGCTTGTAGGGAGATTGCAGTCGACTAAAAAGGCGTCCTACGACGAGGACCGACTAAAGGCGAGCCCGGATACTAAGCAATCTACACCGACAGTAGCGAAATGTGGGCATAAGGGTGCTCGGGGGGACAGCGAGGACGCAATTAGTGGTCTAACGGAGACACAGCAACGATAAGGCTCCCTCTGATTACTGGACACTGGCTCTGAAGAGACAAATCTAGGCCAGAGTAGTGACTACCAGCATGGGGAAACTCAGATACTTGACTACGTGTCAAATATCAGCCACTGACGCCTAGTGAGCGGATCCAGATTCCGTCGAGAATACCCAGCACTTGTGTTGTGCTGTTGGGTGTCTGACGACTCGCCGGGTTTACTCTTATAACGAAACCATGGTATGTACAAGGCAAATGCCAGCATACACGTATGCTATATAAGAGAGTATCAATACTATTCGACCATTAGGGTAACAAAAATTGAAAATTTAAACTATGACGGTTTTAAAGTTATTCAAAGGCTTAAATTTTATCATAACAAACAGTATAAACTATTGTCAATATTTAGTTCTGGTAGGAGGATCTAATTAGTATATGCATTAAGAAATGAGATACACCTGTGCTACTAGAAACTATATAGATTCTGACGCCTGCCGCAGCCTGCTTCTGACGATCTTTGCTGGTGACGTCGCGCGAGGGCAGGGCTTCGCCGTGCAGAGGCAAGCGGTTCTCATTGGCAGGCTGCCGGTGTGATTGACGGGGATTCCGTTCCCCCTGGCACATATCGGCCCTCGGATTAGACGCTGAACGGTCAGATACATTTTATTCCCGCGCGGACCTCTTTCACTCGGGGAGGGAGTCGCCTGGCGACAAGCTGTAACAGTAGGTCGACGGGCAGCGATTCCCCTCTGAGCAAATGTTTCCGGCTATTCTGGGCAGCTTAGGTTAGACGTTTTCTGGCAGTTTGGCAATGGGGTGCACCACGGCTTGTGCGCACTCATCAGGGACGTCACCAGCCAATTTGGCTGGCGAGAGTACCCATTGGCTGCTACAAAGAATGCCACTCTATTATTCGACAATTCGTGCACCCACGGATCGGCGCATTTCACGGCAGCTTTTGAGTGGGATGCCTGGATGAGCATTGCGTCTCCCACTGGAATTTGCACTGGCGTTCCCAACTCCCCTGAGAACATTCACGGGCAAATATTGCCAGGCAATTCTCGCAGCAATATTGCTGCCTCTCTCCGCCTGGGCGAGCCTACACGCGGAGCCTCGAGCGGCTGATTTGCCAGGCGGAACCAGCCTCAACTCAAGTAGTCACCAGGCAGCCAAGGTCCTCTCATTGGGGTTTCAGAGCTTCAGTTCTCCGCTGTTTTTGCCTTCTCTTCCAGTCTTAGAACAGTCCATTAGGTACGAAGAAGCTTTACTTCTGTAGACAGTACCCTCCACCCGATTCGTGTCGCGAAAAGTCCGCCTGTCATGCCGAAGGCAGCCAAGGGCAAGGAAAAGGGCGGGAAGAAGAAGAAGGACCCGAACGCTCCGAAGCGGCCGTTGGCTCCATACATGTTCTACTGCAAAGAGCAAAGAGAAGTCGTGAAGGCCAACAACCCAGACGTTTCCTTCGGAGAGCTCGGGAAGATTTTGGGAGCTCAATGGAAGGAGTTGGACGACAAGGAGAAGAGGGTGCGTTGTTACACTCATGCACCATACCTTCGGGGTTTCTGGCGTGACACTATGGTATCGTTAACGCCAGTTAAATTGTCACAGTTTTCTAAAGCGTCAGGCTGACGTTACTTCTCGTTTCTTACAATTCTTGCAGCCATACATGAAGATGGCGGAGGACGACAAGAAAAGATATCAAGACGAGATTGAGAGCCTTGAACCGGCAGACGACGAGTGAAGGTATGTACACCGAGCAGGCGTTTAGAACCGTCCGTACAGATCTGCGGCTAGCAGGAGTTCCGTTCCGGCGTATCGTCTCTTGGTATAGCGAGCCTAGTGTTCTGTGAAGCGCAACTTATTTTGGGTTTCCCTTGGTTTTTGTACCTGCAGGCTTCAAACAGACGCGGCGCGTCCTATGAAGTTTTTCTGTCTATAAGAGCTGGCGTTCTTCAACTAAACGCTGAGGTGTACCTGCGTTTTCTGAAGAGTGCTGGAGCTCTCAAGGCCAACCAAATTAGCTTTGTTGACTGGTTTTTGTTTTTGTTTTCTATATAGACTAGCCTGCTCATGTCTAACACCATTGTGTCTTGAATTTACTAGTGGATGTCTCCATTCATACCGCTATTAAGACATTTATTTCGGGTGAGGTCTGCTTTTGAGCAGGAGAACGGTGATACTTTCATCAGTCACCTATAACTTAATTGTGTTGCAGCCTTGTCACCCTTTCCACCTTGCTCTGGCACTTCTACCCTGTCCAGGGCATTGTCCATTGCCACCTACATATTGTTAAGGCGCCTCATTCATTGAGGCGCCAACAGAATTGGTGTACGATCTATTGCTAGAAGAGCTATCATTCTGCTCATCTAGCTGTTCGCTCAATGCTTTATTGGCTACTGTGCTCAACTCAGCAGAGGAATTGATGGGAAGCCACTTGGCCAAGACAGGGGCTGACGAGTTTGGAAGCAGGGGCTGGTGATCAAAGTGTTCACAAGGACGGGAAAGGCAGCATGTTCACAAGAGAAGGGTTAACAGGTAGTAGCACACTACCAAAAAGAAAAAAAACCACGCATGGAAATCCTGCTAGAATGCGAGCCATAATCAATAAATGAAAGACTCTAGAGTAGCAACCTCTTCACTCACATAGTGCGTTGTGAGCATCTGTGACCCAGTGGGTTGCTCCGAAGCTTCCTCCACAAGGATTACAACGAGCAGCACTGAGGCGATCACCAGCAGCAGCACCGCCAGGCACCACTGCACCTGCCCTTCCCGCACTTCCCGCCTGTATGGGTCGAGCGGTTCCGTGGAGTCGCGACCGCCGAGAACGAAGTCTTTAATCTCCCGCGGGCTCGGAGGAGGTGGTATGGCCGTGAGAAACGAGAACCAGGATGGGTAAGGGAGGCTAGGGTTTGGTCTCGGCACAGACATGGGCGGAAAAGGTAGAGAGTTGACGCCTGAGACTCTATGAGAGGTGATGTGAGGCATACGCTATGAATCAACGGCGGGGCGCAGGCTCAATCTGTAATTCGCTATGGGCAGCTTCTGCACAACAATCTGAAGACTTTACTCGTGATAAATAATAAAAGCGCGGACCGCACAAGACCCTTTGTTAACCGAGGTAAGGTTTCACTGCTACCACTCCACCGTCCGTCCAAACACTACACTTGATGTCATGAAAGTAAATCGCATGCGTCACAAAACTCGCGTGTTCAATCTAGCTTGACTGTTGCTGCTTCGGTCCACTAGGGCTCAAGCCTCTGAAATACACAAACGACTGTTCCGCCCATGCGCTGCTGCACTGCTTACGCTGATAATGAAGACACAGCGCCTTTTTGTGCCCTGATAGCAGTCGCGAAAATCGCACTACGACAATCTCTGAGCATTTAGGATGGAACAACGAACGGAACAGCAGAAATGGACGCAGAAATTCGATGAATCCTAGGAACCTCACTCAAATATTTGTTCGCACTGTTCGCGTTAGTAGCTAAACCAATAATTGTGCTCAGTGAGTAACATCAGCAAGTGGGTCGAGGGGTGATGCTTCTGCAATTCACAGTGATGAACCATCTTTCGTACGTAAGACGAAATGTATCCTTTTGGCAACAAAAACAAGTCTCTGAAGCTTGGGCGTGTACTTTTTGTCGACACTCTTGAAATATGACCACTTTCAACTCTAAGAGAGAGCAGGCTTTCCTGGAAGATTTCCAGCCGTCGGAGTCGAAATTCATGTGGAGTACATTCGGAAACTCGGTGTTGTTTCGGTGTAGAGGGAGCTACTACAGGGTATGAGCTTCGTCTCCTGCTTCCAGCAGTTTTCCTCGAGTCGAAAACTACTTTCTCAAGGCGTGTGTCTTACAGTTCCGGAACTCAGCAAGTTCCGGAACTCGGGCTGGTTACACTGTTCGCAGCACATTTTGACAGAGCTTCGCGAGCTCCTCCCCAGGAAAAATCTTCGCCAGTTCCGGAACTAGTTCCGGAACTTCCAGAAGCGGAACCGTAAGACACACGCCTTCATCCTTCCCAACACATGCTCACCCCTTTCCCTGCTGCCCTCCGCTTCTACTGCTCTGCTCGAGAATCTTGGCTGATTTTGTTAGAAGCTCTCAGGACGTGTCCGAGGTGTAGTACGTCCCTCGTGCAGTTTCTACGGTCCGAATAGGTGCCTCGAGGTCCAACGCGGTGAACCGTTAGAACCGTTTCCCATACTCAACCGGATAACAATACTGATCACGACGACATGCTCGAGAATCAGGAATATCTACATGATTCATCTGATCCGAGGTGAATCAGGACTACATCTATGATTCATCTGATCCGATATTCACACTGTCCAGCTGTTTCCACGTGGCCTCTGATCGACCATAGTATCATTCTTAGGATCCAGTGAAACGGGCCTGTCGACGTGGCAACAGCGCTATAGCCCGGCTATTGAGGAACAGCAGGAAGATTACCAGTGTAGTCCCGTTATTATGGAGCAGCGGGAAGATTACCCGAATTCAGCTGGTGACCAGCGTCTGCAGCAACTCCCAGGGGATCAGAATAGTAGTCAGATGGGGTATTCGCAATCCAACCTAGAGCAGCCGCGGACACTAAAGTCGTATCAGCAGCAGCCAGCAACGCAAGGGTCGTATCAGCAGCAGCACTACCAGCAATATTGCCAGCAATACCCGCCGTATCAGCAACCGTTGCAGCAGCAAGAGCAGCAGCAGCAGCAGCAGCAGCAGGGGCAACAACACCAGCATCCACTGCAATATGAGCAACCGACTCAGCACCCATACTATTCACAGCAGCAGTACCCATATCATTCAGGGTACCATCATCACCCGCAGCAACAGCAACACCAGCAGCATCAGCAGCAGTATCAGCATCAGCAGCAGCATTATCCGCAGGGGTACTATCAGCAGCATTACCGTTATCAGCATTATCAGCAACACCCCGCAGCAGCACCATCAGCAGCAGCAGCAGCACCATCGGCAGCAGCAGCAGCACCATCGACAGCACCCCTGAACCAGACTCATGATGCGTATCAACACGCCGGCTATCCAAGCACTCAGCACCAAAATCAGTACTATGATCAGGGTCAGCATCAACATCAGCAATCATATCCGTATCCGCATCAGCATCAGCATCAGCATCAACATCAACATCAACATCAACATCAACATCAACATCAACATCAACATCAACATCAACATCAACATGAAGATCAATATCAACATGAATATCAACATCAGTATCAGTATTCGTATCAAGATCAGTATCACCAGCAGCACCACGTGCATCCCTCCCCTCTTGCGGCACATCCTGCATCAGCCGACAATCGCCCGTGCGCACTCGTTGTGAGTTCAGTCCCTTTCACCAGCCGTCCAGTTATTTCAGCAGATACTGCTAATCGGCTCACTTACTGTCAATCCGTTTCCCCACTTTTACGTTTCGAATTCCAAAAAATCACTCCAACCTGCTCATTCCCCTCATCCTCTCCACTCGAGGCCCCATCCACCTTTTTGGAGACGCCTCAATAACCATTTTCCTCCCCCCCACTCGTAGTAGCAGCATCCATTAACTCGTTGCCGCTCTGTCCTGTCCGTTGGCCCCTCTTCTGACGTCTATACGCTTCTCTCCATCCTATGCACACAGGCAGCCTTCTAGTTTTGAGGTGTCTCAAAACTGCACTTCCGTGACGTGACGTCTATACGCTTCTCTCCCCATCCTATGCGCAGGCAGCCTTCTAGCCAGCCTGCCACCCCCCACTCTCTCTCTTCATCACACGACCAATTAAAACCTGCTGACGTGGCGTATGACCCATTTGATCCTGGCGAGGAGCAGAAGGAAGGATTTAACAGGCAGGAAGGGAGGGAGAGAGAGGAGGTTGCAGGAGGGAGAGAGGCGGAGGGAGGAGCAGAGTGCAAGGGCAGCAGGGATGGGGATGGTGGGGAGGAGGGTGAGGATGGGGGAAGGAAAGCGGTCGTAAAAAGGAAGTTTGGAGCAGAAGAGGATGAGGAGTTGGAGCTGAAGGAAAGTAAGGAGTGGAAGGAGACGAGGGTTGAGGGGGGAGGGTTAGAGACACAGCAGCACAGAACATTTCAGCTTGACGCAGGCCATTCCCTCGCATCTACTCCTGCCGCTGCCCCCCACTCCACTCCCCCATCTCCCACTGTGATCGTATGGGACCTGGACGAAACCCTAATCATCTTCCAGTCGCTGCTCTCTGGCAAATTCGCCAAGATTCTGCTGGCCATTGGTGGGGCAGGGGGAAGCGACGGAGCAGGGGGGAGCAGTGCCGCAGGAAGGAGCAGTGGCAGGAGCGTGGAGGAGCAGGCGAGGGAGCTTGGAGAGGCGTGGGAGAGGCTGATTCTCGATGTGTGCGACGAGCACTTCTTCTTTGGCGAGGTGAGGAGAGCGATGAGAGGAGGGCGAGGTGAGGAGGTCGAGGAGAGGGGGGGAAGGGGGCGAGGACAAACTATGCGAGTTGAAGAGTAGGTAGCGGGAGTGGCTGATTCTCAATGTGTGCGATGACCACTTCTTCTTTGGCGAGGTGTGTGAGAGAATGAGGGGATGCGGTTGGTTATGTGTGTAGGGCTGGCTACTAGCACATTCGTGCAACGGCAGGAAAAGGGGGAGGAATGGGAGGGTGGAGGAGCAGGCAAGGGGGCTGTTCGAGCTGTACGGCAGAGAGAGGAATGGGAGATGTTATGTTTTGAGAACTCCAAAAAAATAAGTGTGTGTGTGTGTGTGTGTGTGTGTGTGTGTCGGGGTTAATTTAAATCTCCATAAGATAACACAAGCAAGCAAGAGGGCTGTTCGAGCTGTACGGCAGAGAGAAACAGCCTCTTGCCTTTGCCTCGCAAATGGCAGCAGGAGAGGATTGGGAAGGAATGCGGATATTAGGTTGTGGATGTCACACGTGTGAGATGTCGACCTTTTTTTTTTGTGAGAGAACAGAGAGAGAGGGGGGAGGGGGGAATCGTGAAGGATGAGGGTGAAAAGGCTAGTAAGAGTGGAGTGGCTTCACATGTTGGGGCGCACGTTGGGTTGAACATTCAATTTTCAACTGCGTGCATGCATAGGATCATGGTTGGGCATGGTTGGGCCATGGCAGCATGGATGGGCCATGGCAGCATGGATGGGCCATGGCAGCATGGATGGGCCATGGCAGCATAGATGGGCCATGGCAGCATGGATGGGCCATGGCAGCATGGATGGGCCATGGCAGCATGGATGGGCCATGGCAGCATAGATGGGCCATGGCAGCATGGATGGGCCATGGCAGCATGGATGGGCCATGGCAGCATGGATGGGCCATGGCAGCATGGATGGGCCATGGCAGCATGGATGGGCCATGGCAGCATGGATGGGCCATGGCAGCATGGATGGGCCATGGCAGCATGGATGGGCCATGGCAGCATGGACGGGCCATGGCAGCATGGAATGGGTCATTCATCCTTAGCACTGCTCTCCTCCCTCTCCCATGCATCATCTTCGTTCCGACCTGTTGCGGTCCCCCTTTTGGTTAACCTTCAGAAATCTCTTTTTTTTTGCAACCCCTGTTGACTTCCCCCTGTCAGCAAGTCAATTAACCCTTCTTGCTTCACACATACTTTATCCTGTTGCCCACTCCCCGTCCTCCACCCCTTCTGACACCTCCCCGTCCCCGTGCCCCCTCTTTCAATTGGCCTTCGCCCTGCCATGTCAGCTCGAGGACGTGGACCAGCCCAATCTGCGGCATCTGGAAAGGTGCTCGAAGGGTGCTGACGTGGCAGAGTTGAGCACCACGCATCCAGCACCTCCTGCTGTCGTGGCTGATGTCGTAGCTGCTGACGTGGGAGCTCTCCACAATAGAGCACGACTGGCACAGAGGTTCCAGCAGATAGAGCTTGTCTACGACAAGGTACGTTCTTTTGTCATCCTTGTCTCATCCTTTTCTCATCTTTGTCTCATCTTTGTCTCATCCTTTTCTCATCCTTTTGTCATCCATTTCTGATCCTTTTCTCATCCTTTTCTCATCCTTTTCTCATCCTTTTCTCATCCCTTTCTTGTGCTGGAATCCGAGTCTGTCTCAACAAGGTAGGTACATTCTTTTCTGCCTCACCCATTCCTCGCTGTCCCCTCTCCTCAACCACGACAGGAGACCTCCTTTGTCCTCTTCTCATTTTCCTACGAAAGTGAAGCATCTCTTTTTGAGGAGCCTCAAAACTAGATCTCCTTTGTCCTCTTCTGATTTTCCTACGAAAGAAGTGCATCTCTCCAAAGACGCTGCTGTATCCCACCCTCCATCTATCACCCCACCCACTGTCCTGTCCCTCCCAACCACAGGGAATCTCGTCTCTCCTCTCACCTTCCCAAGAGGCGCACAGGCAGCAACTCTACGCACAAACAGACAAATTTACCAATGGGTGGCTCTCAGCTGGTGGGTGGCTGACAGCAGGTGGGGGGCTGACAGCAGGTGTGGGGGGCTGACAGCAGGTGTGGGGGGATGACAGCAGGTGTGGAGGGGCTGAAAGCAGGAGGAGAAGGGGGGGGGGGAGGGTGGGTGGTTTTCAGTGCCTTGGTCTTTTCAAAACGCCTTTGCCTTGCGACTCCAAACATCTATGTGCACCCGACAATTCCGAGGCGTCTCTATTCCTGTCTAGTTGAAACTGCCTTTTCTTCAACCCATTTTACCACAACCCATTCCCATCCTATCGAATCCTTCTCCATCCCATCCCATCCCATCCCACCCCATCCCATCCCATCCCATCCCATCCCATCCCATCCCGTCCCATGCCATGCCATGCCATGCCATGCCATGCCATCCCATCCCATCCCATCCCATCCCGTCCCATGCCATGCCATGCCATGCCATGCCATCCCATCCCATCCCATTATACTACCCCATTCCTGGTCGTGCCATGCTTGACACAGCAGAAGCAGCACCACCACATGCACCACTAGAGCTAACTGTAGCAGCCACATCGGGGCCGCCACTAAGACAAGCAGAATCTCATTCCCGCCATCGGCACAAGAAGCAGAGCCTGCAGCAGCATGTGGTTGGAGATGTTTTTATTAATTTCTCAAAAACCACCCCACCATCCATCTGCAGACGAAGCAGAGCCAGCAGCACGCGGTGCACCATGTTCAATGAATGTGATAATCTTGTTGGGTCACCTCATTCCCACCGTTGCCCATCGCCCATCCCATCCCATCATACTACCCCATTCCAGGTCGTGCCATGCTTGCTGCAGCAGCATCGTCACATTCTCCACTAGCGCCAGCCACAACAGCAGCAGCCGCAACAGCAGCAGCCGCAACAGCCACATCCGAGTCGCCACTAAAACCAACAAAAGCGGCATTAGCAGATGCAGAAGCAGCAGAGCTTGGAGCAGCATGTGGTGCACCACCATTGGCAGTGAACGTGATAGTCTCGTCTGGACAGCTCATTCCGACGCTTGCCAAGTGCCTGCTATTCGGCCTCGATCCTTTCATCTGCCCGACCAACAGTAAGATTTTTGTTATTTTTTGTCTGCCTTGCGATGGGTTATCTGTTTCCCAGGATCATTTGCTATTGTGATTCAGGTGGCTTACGGGGTGTTACAAGTGCGATGGGAAGCGTTGAGTTGACATGTCAGGTTTTGCTCTGCCGGAACCCAAACAGCGCTAGCACTGTACTGCACAGCGTTTGGACATGTCAAAACGTTAACGTTTATTCCACTTTTAGCACCCCCTTACCTGCTACACATTTGTCGTTCACATGAGTCATGTGCCTGACTCATGTGACTCGCAGTTCTTCTGCATTGATCGAAGATTTTTAGATTGCCCCCTCCCCACTTCTCACCTCTCGCATGGAAGGCAAGGTGGTGTGCGTCCAGGGCATTCAAGACCAGTGCAGCTTCCCTGTTTTGAGGCGCATACAGCAAGACCCTTCTTTCACATTGTAGTCTCGCTTTCTTGCTCTTTTCCAGTTTACAGCTCTCGCTGGGAAGGCAAGCTCGTGTGCTTCTAGCGTATTCAGCGTATAACAAATCCTTCACCTTTTTTCTCACTCTCCCGCTCTCGACGCTCTCGCCCTATCCCCTTCCCCCCCTCTCCCCCTCTCCCTCTCCCCCAATCCCCCCCTACCTCCTCTCCCACTCCCAGTCTACAGCTCTCGCAAGGAAGGCAAGCTGGTGTGCTTCAGGCGAATTCAAGACCGTTTCAGTGGAGCGGTTACCAGCGCTAGCAGCAGCAGCGTTATCAGAGTTACCAGCAGCAATGTTACCAGGGTTCCAACCAGTGACATTGCGCCAAGCCTGCCTGATCAGAAGCAGTGCTTCGTTGCAGTGGGAGATGGGTGCGAGGAAGCAGCAGCGGCTAAGATCATGGGATGGCCGTATGTAAGGGTAGATGCGGCATGGGATGAGATGAGAGTGACGAACATGTCACTGGCGCAGATACTGCTAAAGGGCAGGCATGCTGAGTGATGGGTATGATGTGAGGTGATGGGTGTATGGGAGAGTGGATGCCGCACGGGATGAGATGAGTGTGACACAAATGTCACTGGCACAGATATTATTTCTGAGGTGCCTCAAAAACAGATACCGTAATCCCCCGTATATAACACCCGCCGAAATAATCACTCTGCGGGTGGTTTATGCGGAAGAGAGCTTATGATAGGGTGAATTTAGGAGAGCACTCGCTTTTCGGGGGTTGCATTTTACATAACACCCTCCTCGTTTTATGCAGCAAAGAACAGTATTTCGTAGTTTTTCAACCTCAGCTCGATTGAGAAAAAAAACGAACAGGATGAAAAACGCAATGTCAACTACCGTTAGCAGCGAAAAAACGGGCAGAGACATCAATACCGGTACAAGTTGCAGCGCGAAATCGAAACGTCAGCAAAGGTCGAGACTCGGGAGGATTTCGACCGTCGAAGTCGCGGATTCTGTTGTGATTTGACGGTCAGAATCCTCCCAAGCGAAATCCTCCCGTCGAAGTCGCGGATTCTGTCGCGATCATGACGGTCGCAGGTGCTGCACAACTCAGCAGGGATTGGCCAACGATGATTGGTTGGTGAGTTTCGTCTTAGCAGATGCTGTACCTCGCTAACAGTCGCTCCGCGCATTTTTTAACACACATGGCCTGTAACACTCAAATTCAAATTGCATATTGAGAAAGCTTGCTTTCTTGTCCTTTGCAATAGGCATCGTTCTCATTTCACGTGGGCTAGGTACAATAGTCTGTTACTAGCTTATAAGAATCTAAACATACACACATCATGATCCTAGTTGTGCGCTCCCGTTCAAGCGACCGGCTGGCAATTGGACATGCACGGTTGTCTAGGGGGGGGTGGGTGGGTGGGAAAGTGGACTGAGCCGTTTGAAAAATGAGAGACGTGGGTGGAGGTAAATGAGCTCCAACCCACGTATATGTAGTTGGAAAAGGGCCAGTAGCGCGCTTCGACGATGCCCAATGCTTCAGTACAGTCCGCTTCGCTTTCACAATACACAATTTTTGAAAAACACAGCGTGTGTTAAAAAATTATAATTTTACATAACACATGGGCACTATAATTTTCCGGGCCACTGTTAACACCCAGTCATTTTTTTAGTGAATTTTTATATACACCATAGGGTGTTATATACAGGGGATTACAGTACTGCAGGCAAACAGATGACTTTTGAGTCGACTCAAAAGTCAATTTTGAGGCGCCTAAAAAATAGATAATGCAGGCAAACGGGTAACAGATGTAAGCAACCATGGATTAGGGCATATTCCTCTTCCCATGTCAGATAGACTTTCTTTTCCAGTGCAACAGACTGGGTCAAAGAGTGTAATATTTCGACAGGTGTTGCAGAAGACTAAGTATAGAATATGCAAACACGAACACTCGGAAAACCTCAAGTGTTAGCCTATGATCTTTGCTGGAATGGTAGACTAGTAAAACAGCGGAAGTCTTGTAAGAGTGAACCTGAGTATATGTTTCTGCAGAAGTTAAGTCTCAAAGTTTTCAAAGTTGAAATCTCAAGGTTAATAATAAAAAGGATACAACAAAGATTTATAGCTCTAGGAAAGTACCTGTTCGCTAATGTACCTGTTCGTCACTACCACGCTATGCGCCCTAGATGATAATGAAGAGGTGCGACTATTCGCGTGACTAAAACGACTGTCCTATGACGAGCGCTATTTGTTGACGTCATCCTACGGACTTATCTTCTCCAGTAGGATTCGACACTATCTATCGATAAACGACTTACAGAAATGCTAAGTATGAAATATACCACAACAGTCCCCTTCATTTCTGGAAGTCCGATAGAGTCACGTTTTGAAGATCCCGCAAAGCTTGTTACTGTATTGAAACTTCTGTCGCGTCAGCTTCTTCGTGAGGAAATCGGCAGCCATTTCGTTGGTCGAACAGTAGACCAACCGCATCCTGCCCTTCTCGACTTCATCTTTGATGAAAAAGTAACGTAGAGAAATATGTTTCGTCCTGTTGACGAAACCAGGCTGGTGCGTGATGCGAATTGCTCTTTGGTTGCCGCACTGTAGTGTAAATTGGGTAGTCGTCGTCAACTTTGCTTCTTCCAGTAGTTCTTGTAGGAAAAGTCCTTCGCGTGTTGCTGTGCAAACAGCGATGAACCCAGCTTCAGCAGAGGAGAGAGCAATCAACTCCTGTTTCATCGAATTCCAAGAAAGAGGTCCGATAGGTTCAAGCCGGTAGATGAATCCAGTGCGCGACCGTCGATTAGTAGAGTCAGCAGCGTGATCGGCGTCGACGAAACCTGGTAGGTATAGTGTTTTGCAACCGATGACGTTGTAGACTAAATCGACGTCAGGAGTCGAGACGAAATATTGAAGCGCGCGGAGAAGATCAAGTTGGTGCTCCTCTTCAGGACGGCGTAGGAACAGAGTGAGCTGACTAGCCACGTAGGCCAGATCGGGACGACAAGTGACAGTGGCGAAGAGGAGACAGCCTAACTGCTGTTGATAGATCTGTAAACCGGTTGAATTTAACAGTGCAGTGTTCGGTTTGTGGTCAGTCGGTAGTGAGTCGTACGGTGTAGAGACTATAGTAGGAGTGAGATTGAAGCGGGCAGCGAGCGTGGCTGCGTACTTCGAAGCGGTGAGATGAATAGTCATCGATGAACAGGTAATGTTTAGACCAAGAAACTGTGAGACCGTTTCGGAGACGGTAAGCTGTAGAGTTTTCTGTAGTTTTAGTATGAAGATATCGGCAAGAGAATCGGTAGTAATGACGTAGAGGATATCGTCAACGTAGGCGACGAGTAAAATATAGTTGCTGCCGTCAGTCAGACGATACATTCCCTGGTCATGCAGTAACTGACGAAATCCGGCAGTGATCAGTTGTGAGTGGAGGTTTTTCTGCCAAAGCCGTGGTGCCTGTTTAATGCCGTATAGCGATTTTCAGAGACGGCATACGCTCGGTGGGTTAGTAGCATAGGAATGCGGGTACTCTACCAGGATGAGTGCGTCGACGGGCGCATAGAGAAACGCATTTGACACGTCGATTTGTTGAAGTCGGAGATTACGGCAGGCGGCGACACAGAGTAAAATCCGCACGCTTGTATGTCGACCGACAGGAGCAAAGGTTAATTCGTAGTCGATGCCGTAAGTCTGCTCGAATCCGCGGACGACCCATCGCGCCTTGAACTTTTCAAACGACCCATCTGCATTAGTTTTGACGCGGAAGACCCATTTTCCGGTAAGTACCTTCTTTCCTTTTACTTCTGAAGTCGGTATTAAATCCCATGTGCCACGATTTTTAAGAGCTGCGAGCTCCTTGTCCATGGCTTCGCGCAAATTTTCTCGGTGAGGACTCGTAAGAGCTTGTCAAACAGTTTTCGGTTCAGGTATCGTACTGTCGTTGTACTGTACTGCTACTGCAAATCCAAGTATCTGTAAACCGGTTTCTGTAAAACGCGGACGTTCCTCGTTTGCACCTGCGAAATTTTCTTCTGGTCCTTCTTCCCCCCCAATTTCGTCAGGTGTAACACGAACTGCTTCGTCGGAGACGGCGGGCATTGGCTGCTGTTGGCGATCGCGTTCGTAACTGAGATGAACTTCTCAAACGTGATCCGGGTCAGCATCGACAAGAGGAATAAACTCCGGTATGCCAGTCGAGGTGACAGGTTCGGGAATGTCCGTTGCGGCAGCTTCGGATGTTTCAGAAACTGCTTCGTCCTGTACATCTGCTTTGGCTTCATCAGTTGCAAAGGCACCTTGAGCCTTCGAACAGCCTGGCGGGGTTGGCAGCTGCTGCCTGGTGGGCACGAAAAACGGGCAAGGTGAGTCTTTCATAGAAGAGACAATCATGTGATGGGACGATGTGGTTAGAGCGAAGATCCAAAATCTTCCATGCGTGATACTGGTTTTCGATGCCGAGGTGTACCCCCCATTTTGCTCGTTCGGAAAATTTGCCGAGTGCTGCAGTTGGAGGACGAAACTGCACGACACACCCAAACACTCGTAAAAGCTTGGTACTTCCCACTGTACATGTCCACTGCAGGTGCGGAGAGGAAAACTCGGGCAGGGACGTTGAAGAAAGAAGATTGTGTAACAGCACGGTGTGGTCCATAACATATGGCCAAAAACGTGGTGGAAGGGCTGCCTGCGTCAGCAGAGCACGCATCTTCTCCTGCAGAGTTCTGTTCATCCCTTCTGCTACCCCTATCTGTTGGTGTGCATGTGGCAGTGACTGCTTCTGTTTGATGCCGAGTGTCTGAAGGTATTCTGTGAAAGTGTTGCTGGTGTATTCCCCGGCACCATCACTCTGGAATTTTTGCAGTTTCACGCCTGACTCTCGTTTAGCGACAACGAGCCATGCGACGAAGACGGAGTGAGCGAGATAACGAGCGGGAAGGTTTGCTGTCCAGACGTAGCGTGTAGATGCTTCGATGAATGTTATTACGTATTGCTCCTCTTTAGGTCCTGCTTCAGGTAAGTTTAGGATGTCACTGTAGAATTTCTGCATCAGTTTATAACGTGTTGAACCAGGAAAATGACTTGGAAACGGATCGTGAGTAAGGTTGGCAACCAGACACGTGGTGCAAACCGTGGGACGGGACTGCGGCTTCATCTCCGTGCCGTCAGGTAAAAGAAGACTGTTTTTATCCAGAACTGCTGCTCGTATTGAATGATTAAGAATCCCCTGCGATGGATATCCTAACCGCTGATGCCATATATCTTCTGTGGCTTTGTGTCCTGATGATCGCATGTAAAAATTGGCGTTAGTATAAAAAGAAGAAAGAATGAAAGGAGAAAGTGTTGGTGACTTGTCAATCTCTCCTTCGACGAAACGTGTAAGTGGTAACAGAACAGTTGAAGGTGCTGCTGCAGTTGCGATTGCAACTTTTGATGCTGCTTCTGTTGATGTAGTGGCATGTGTTTCGGCGAAAGCTACTGTTGAACACGGCTGCTCGGCGACTTCTTCCTGTTCGATTTCTTGAACGACGTGAGGTTCATCAGCTGCAAGTCCACTTATTTCTCCCCAAAGTGGTGCTGGAGTTCCTTGGAAGGCTGCACGGGTATTATAAAACGTTTGCCACGCGGTGGCGCTTTCATCGGCGGTATTGAACTCCCAGGTATCCAATGCGGTAAGGACGGCGGCTGCAGTTCGAGAAGCTGTTGGTAAAGTAGTTGCTCGAAAGTCAATATCCACGTGTTGATAATCTGTTTCTTCTGGGTGATCCCACGGACCAAGTGCAAGGACGCGTTCAGAATCTCCAGAAGTTCCTTGTGCC